TAATATATGGTATTACTGTTCACAAAGTTGTTCTTTAGCTAAACGTTTTCAAAAACATGAAAATCAAGATAAGCAACTTAATAGAGAATATATTGAACAATTTAACTGTAATGGAATTTTAAAGGTATCTGAAAAAATATATAACAACAATTGATTTTTAGCATAATTTACTTCATAAATAACCAGATAGATTTGGATTAAGTAATTCAATAAAAGAAATAATAAAAAGAAATATTCATCTCACATCCAGTGATATATTTAAACAATTAGAGTTGCATTATCCTGATTTAACTTAAAAACAGGTTCATATATAATAGTCTTATTTTATTAAAGAAACATATATGTATAATAATAATTAGTACTGTCAGTAAAAATACTTCTTCAAAATTATAAATATGAATATCATCTTTACAAAAGTTCTGAGATTGGTATGTTTTACTTTAGTTTCATAATACCATTTTTTGATATTTTAAAAACAAATAAAGAAATAATTGTTGATGCTACATGTAAATTTAATTTATTTTTATTTTGTTTTATTTAATTTTTTTACAAATATTAACTGTATTAAATATATATTTATTTTAATAGATAAATAAATGCTTTAAGTTTTGAGCTTTATATAGTTATTGGATAATATAATGATGCTGGATTTTCTATTGCATATTTATTTATTGATAATTTAAAAAAGATAAAAGAGTGTGTACAGAAATTTTAACTGGTTTTTTTTGAATTTTTACATAATCAAGGTTTAAATAATGTTCAGTATTTCTTTACAAATAAGAATTTTTTTCAAATTAGCAGCTAAAAGTATTTGGCCAAATGTAAAAGTACAACTTTGCCTACTATGGCAGTATTGGGCAATTGGATAATTGATGTTTTGGACATCTATCCAAAATTCTGTTTAAACTTGTTCAAAATTAAAACCTTTTTTCATTGGATGGGTTTTGAACAGTTTAGATTACATGATTATAGGCTAAAGTTAAAATTAATTCTAGTAAACATTATATAAAATAAATTTATATTTAATTAATTAAATTCTAAAGACACAAATATAAATTCTAGTTATTTATTAATAAATATATATTTTTAATAACTAATCTTAGTTTAAAATATTTTTTTTTTTTTATTAATTTAATATAAACAATTGGTATAATAATATTATTTTTATTTTTATTTTATTTGTTGAATTTTTATTTTGAAATTTAAAAAGAAAAAAAAGTTTTACAAAGTAAATAAAAGTTAAATTATAGTTTAAAATTAAATTATAGCTGATTTATAGTATAATCATAAAAGTTTATATAATATATATAATATAAAATACTTAATATATAAATTATACTTTTAGAATTTATATTATTTAGAACTTTTAATTGTATAAACTATTTATTATTAATATTATTAGTATAAATTACTTAAAAAATGCAATAATTATAATTTTATAAGAAAGTATTTTATTATATTTTATATAATGAATTTTGCTAACTTTCTTTCTGAGAGATTTCACCTAGGTAATATTACCTGTACTAAAAATTAAAATTTATCCCTTTTATTTATAACTGTAAATTTTACTCTTTAAAATAACATTATCAAATTAACAACTCCAGCGAATTCAAGTCTTACCTTAATCCTAATCCTTTAATTATAATCCTAATTTTAATTTTAATCCTAATCTTCTACCCCTAAATTCTTAAATCCCTAACTCTAATTCTAATCCTAATTAATATACAATTTTTTTATAAGTAATGTAATATATATATATACCAGCAGGTTTACATAATTTAATTTTACATAGGTGATGTTACCTACTAGGTTAAATCACATGGAGAGAAAATTAGTTTTATACTTATATAATAATATCATTTTTATTTATTATAAATAAAAAATTAAAATGTTTTATATAAAATATTTACATATTAAAATGGAAAATTATATAGTATGATTATATATATTATTTATGAATTAGTTGTAATAATTAATAAATTCAGTAAGTAAAATTCATTTTTTTTATTAAAATCTGATTATCCTATTGTAATAAAATTTTAGAAAAAGAATGGAAAAATATTCTTGCAGAACTAAATGTATATATATTATTCTTTATTTAATTAATTTAATTTTATTAATTATATTAAATTCTTTATATTATTATTTATTGAATCTATAATTATCCTATTTATAAAATTTAAGTTTATTATTATTTTATTTAATTTAAATCTTTTAACTGGTTTTGATGGAGAATTTTAAGCAAAGTATTTCAAATTATTGATTTAATAGTATTTGAATTTTTTGCTTCCTAAAAATTAAATAGAAATGAGTAATTAAGTACTATATATTAATGATTATGCAAAATAAAACAAATATTAATTAGTAGTAATTCCAAATAATCAAGTAATTTGTAATCTGAAAAATTATTATATGAATTACAGGATTCTTATAACTTTTCTTATTACTTTTTATTTTTATATACATCAAAAAAGATTTATAAAATCCTTTAACAATTGTTATTTATATTATTATATATTAAATAATAATAATAATAATAAATACAATTACTTTTTAGTTTTAAGATAATATAAAAATAATTAATATATATAATAAATAAATTTAATATCTGAAAGTCAAGATCATTGTTTTTATTTATTATATTTAAAACTAATTTGCTATTTAAACTATTTATACTCTATGGCATCATTGCACAAAAAATAGTAAAAATAGTTTAAATATTTGGTTTTCCATTAAATTTTCTATAAAAAAATATCTTTTAAATTTAAAAATTAGAATTTTATAAATAAAATAAATCATGATGTTGCATTTTATAAATGTAACAATTTTATTTTTTTATTTTATTTAATAATATTTTTTCAAAGTTATATAATAATTGTTAATGTTTTATATTAATAAAAATCTGAAAGTTCAAGATTATTGATCTTATTTATTATATTTAAAATTGATTTGCAAAAATAGTTTCAAATATTTAGTTTTCCATTGAATTTTCATTATATAAATCATGATGTTACATTTTATAAATTGTAATAATTTTATCATTTTTAATTAATTCAAGGTTTTTTATTTTTTTCTTTATCTTAATAGTATTTTTTCAAAGTTATATAATATTTGTCAATTGTTTTGTATTGATAAAAATAAATCTTATTATTAAGGTAACTTATATCTTATAGTCTCTACTTAATTGATAAAATATTAAGGGTTTAAAATTTAAACGCACCTGCGTTTGAACGCACCCCCATGGTATAAGTCAAAAATGAAGTTTTAAACCCCTTTTGTCATAGTAAGTAAAGTTGTAGAGGAGGCAAAATACGCATATAACGTGAGTTTATTTATAGGTGTATAAGGTATAAATTGCGTTTATTCAAAAAAATAGAAATTCGCCTGTATCACGTGATAAAATGATCAGCATTTTTATTATATAAAAATTTCCAAAAAAGGGGGGTGCGTTCAATTTTTAATCCCAAATATTAATTTATTTTTTTATTTTTTTATCATATAGATTTTCGGACTAAAAGTTTACCTGAAAATTATGTATGATTATTATATAATACAATCCAATACTAAAAGTATTTTAACAATTGAGTATATTTATAAGAAATCAAGCTAATTAATATCCTTCTTAGGCTTTGGAACTATTTACTTGCTAATAGCATACTGTATTTCTGTCTTTATATCATATTGATAACGAGCAAAATGTGATGGTGTGGGCTATACGTTTATATAAAGCTCACTCAAATAATGATAAGTTTTCAGCAGGATTCACGATCAGTTAAAATACAGACTTATGTAATTCTTATTTAGCTTTTGTGTTGTATCCCCATTCTATTCGAGTACTAACAGTTCAACAATTTCGATACAACAATTTTGGTTCAATTCGACAAACATAAGATTTTTCCAGATATAGTCACTAACTGACCGACCGATCTATTGCAGCAGTTGTAGAAATCAAATTATATTGTACATGGAACGAATCCGTGGAATCTACACCCATGTCTAGGAAGCAACAAATGTTTACAAAATTATCAAGCCAAGTTCGAATTAAATGTCATAATAATTAATTGTATGATCTTATAATCTTACAATATTTGAATTTTCTTTTGAAAAATTCTTTATTCATCTAAATTAACAAACTATTAAAAATATCACAACACAAATAAAATTTAATTTGGGTTTTTTAATCCATCCCTAAAATACATTATTTTTTTTAGTTTTAATATGATATCTTCCTATATGATCATTAAGTCATCGTCTATCGATAATCAGCAAGCGCGGATTGGTTTCTTACTCGGAATAAAACCCTAATTTATAAACATCATTTCATTTGTAATTTTTTAAGAAATTTCAAGAAATTAATATTTACTATTTGATTCTAAATAAATATATTACTTTAGACTAGAGAACGGTAGCCGTAATATTGAATAGGAAAAATCAAACTTAGGTTGAAATTACTAAATTATGGTCTTAATTGAAATAATTAAAATTACATTCATACGTTCTGATTGCTAGACCTGCATTAAAAAATATACTTGCGAAATAATATTGTCGCGAAAATAAATTCATTTTTTTACCGCTAAATTTACTATATGATACTCCGTGTATAGTGTCACGTAATTTAAAATAATATCATATGTGAATTAATAATCTACTGTATGTGAAACGTTATCTTTATGTATGACAAGTACCATTATTTCCAAAATATTTTACACTAAAATTTTAAGAATGAAAAATAGAATAATCATCAAATGGGAACAATAAGAAATTCTTGGAGTAATTGTTTTATATATATAAATCACTAAAGAGGAAATAAAGAAATTGTAGAACTCTAATTTTTTTTTGGAAAAAACATGTTTTTACCTGTATTAATTTTTGAAAGGATTTTATTGATAAAATTTATTTTTAGATGCATGAATGTATATATATATATTTTTTTATAATATATAAATGTAATGGGTTGCATTTTTTATTAGTCTAATATACTTTATCGTTCGTTGAGCATAATGTCGTGGACAAATGAAATCCGCGTCGTGATTGGTTTGGGTAAAGTCATAATAATTAAGAAATTGTCATTTTGGTTCTTTATCGCCAAATTAATTAAAAACATTATGTATATTTTTTAGACTTTGGAACCACTTATTCGGTAAATAACATAATTCCAACCATCATGTTGCGTCAGAATTGATATGAATAAAAAGGATTTTTTTTTTGATAGGGATTTTCTTTACATCATATCGAAAATGATGATGTTGGGAATATCCAAGCAAACTCTATATGGCCCGGAGGTATGGGAACATTAAAGACAAATACGGTACTTCAATACAAAGCTAACCTTGAAGAGGTTGAATTGTGGGGTTATCCAGCCTTGTATAAGAAACCTAATAAGAAAAAAAAAGATAATGAAATGAAACCTGTAGAATTATTTAAATTACATTTGGGTAATTGTTTAGAACAGTTTAAACCAAAATTGCCTGTAGATTTTAAAAAGGCAATTGTCGATTATCTTCGTGAAATGGGAAAAGTAAAGAATTTACTAAACTTTCAAATATTAAATGCATTAATTTTCATATTTAACTTATCTCAAATTTTACTTTTAAGTGTATTAAAGAAACAATTCCTCAATATTGGCCTGGAATCGACTTCATGAATGATGTTCTTTTAGTTCTTACTATACCAGCTGAATATTCGGAAAATGATAAGGCTATAATGAGAGAATGTACATTTAATGCTGGATTGATAAGCGACAAAAATTCGGAAAGATTGCAATTCACAACTGAACGTATGTTCAATTGATTTATATGTCAATGAATTATTATGATATACATGTATATTAAATATATTAATGTTATTATAGCTGAAGCAGCAGCAATCTACTGTATGAATTGCTTAAAGGAATATAAACTTACAGAACCCGGAAGTATGTTCACGCTTAAATTTTTGTTCGCAAATTTTAAGTTCTTGACCGTATTTAGTATTAATTAACATTATTCATCCTTGTCTGATCAAGCAACTTTCATGGTCGTTGACTGCGGTGGTGGCACAGTAGACTTAACAACTCGTAAATTATTAGAAGAAAATCAACTAGGTGAAGTTACAGAAAGAGCGGGAAATTTTTGTGGGAGTACATTCATTGATAAAAAATTCATCGACCTACTTAAGCGTGAAGTTGGAAAATCTGCTGTAGATTTGTTAAGTGATAAGAATTATGGTCAATTGCAGTACTTAATTCAAGAATTTTGTCAATATGTCAAGATGCCATTCACCGGAAATGATCCAAATTTAAGATATGAAATGAATCTTGAAGAACTTGCTCCCGTATTATTACAATATGTCACTGGTTCAGAAAAAGATTTGATGGAAGAAAAAGAATGGATATTGGAACTTGACTTTGATACTATTAAATCCATGTTTGATCCTATTATTGATATAATTATCGAAATGATTCATATTCAACTAAAAAATTCTTCAGGAAAATGTTCTGCAATATTCTTAGTTGGAGGCTTCGGTCAATCAAAATATTTACAGAAAAGAATTGAGAAAGAATTTAGTCAATTGGTAGAAAATATCTCGATTCCGAACCAACCTATCGCAGCAGTCGTACGTGGCGCAGCAATCTACGGTAAAAGTTTACTTGAGTCAAGAAATTATAAGAACACGAATAATTTAAAATGCGTCATTGCAACTCGCATATTAAATCATACTTTTGGAGCGAAAGAAACTGCTAGATGGCAAACTGGAGATCCACCAGACCGAATTACAATTTTTGGAAAAATTCATAAATTTCGCCGTATCGTAGAACGTAAAACTGAAGCTACAATTGATCAAGAATTTGTATTTAAAGATCTTTATCCTATCACTCCATTTCAAACAAAAATGAAATTTGAGATATATTATACAAAAGCACAGAATGCCGCTTATTGTGATGAACCTGGTGTGAAGTTGCTTGGGAGTTTACTAATTGACCTTCCCGATGTTCATTTAGGATTTAATAGACCCTGTACATTTTGCATATCATTTGGTGATATGGAAATTAAAGTTAGGGCTTTTAATCAAACAAATGGACAAAATTATGAAACTAAGTTTGAATTAAATAATTATTAAATTATTTGATTGTCTCAAAAAGAAATTGTATTTATATCAAATTTTTATTACTATTGTACTATATTTTCAATACTAAATAAATAAATTATTTCTCATGTTATAATTCACATTAATACATTAATAGAAATCGTCTTATTCATTATAAGATACAAAGTTTGCTTATGATACAGTACTAAAAAAGAAAAATTATAATGGCAGCAAAAACCATTAACTCGAAAAAAATTTTATGTATCGAATTGAAATAGTAACAACAAAAAAAAATCCTTAACGCAATCGTTAGTTATCTTATCAATATGTCCAAATGATTACACGAACGATTGTTGTTTAACGTGCTGTGGGCGAATCAGGATTTTTATATTACTAATCAATTTTTTATTTTAAAAAAATGGATTTTTTTGTCATGAGATAAATGGAAGCGCGTTACTTTATTATATAATAATCATTGTAATTAATGCTTCTATGATAGAAGTCGCAATAAAAATAACATCTTAAGTATGAAAATTTTAAAACAGCTTATTGAATTTGTTTTCCGGTTATTAATATGAGACCGACCTAGATAAGCGAAGATTTCCTGTCACATATGATTAATATAATCAACGCGAAAAATTATGATTAATGCGACGAGATTGAAGTATATATACATTATACAAAATCCCATCATTTTGCAAAGTGTTGATAATTCATAATTCTCGTTTATTGACATTCGGGTTTTTCACTTTAGCGGTTCGATTTGATATTGGGTATTCATGGAAGGGAAATTGAACTGTGTCCTATGATCAATAAGTATGTGTAAATAATATCTCAACATTAAGGAATTGATACCCCAACCCTTAGATCTAAGAATTTTTTGGACGAAGTTACTAACTGTAATCATACGTAAGACATTTTAACAACCTTGATAACGAGAGACATCACAAAAAGGGCGAGATTTTCATTCATATTGAGTGGAATATTTTTGTTATTATTAGGACTATGACAACCCGCTAACGCAAAGTGTTTAATAAAGAAATCTAAGAGCAAATACTTTGACCAACGTGATCAACGATCAACATTCGTGTAATGGCGCGTAATGATTAATTGATTATAGCGCGTAAACAATCTTACATCAATGACTCAATATATATTTTAATGATTTTCCCATGAGAAATAAATCGCTTTTTTTTTCTCTGTCTTCAAAATTTTTTTTCCTTTTAATATTATTTCTTTTAATATAATATTTATTATTTCTTTAATATTTATCATTTCCTTCAATATTCATCATTTTTCTTTTAATATTTATTATAACTTTCTCAAACTTATATTTTATATACAAGACTTTTATTCTTATTCATTTTTTAAAAAAAGCCTTAGAAGACTTCTACTTAACATTAAACAATGTAGATAAATTTCTTGGGCTTTTTATTATTTTGGTAAGTGGAAATGACTAAGCTGGGATGTATAAGGGATTTGTGCACCTAGAGTGCTTTGGTTATCCTCCTCTTCTAGAAGTCTGGTTACCTTAATGAGAAAAATAATGGAAACATAATAATATCTCAAGCTATGTCGCAGACTTCTGTATGTGGGGCCCTTCCCTTTGGTGGTGGGTCTCATGTCTTATTATCAATATGACAGTACCTCTGCACGAGTTTGATCACTCACGATATATCGTTAATGTCAGTTGATAGTAGGCATGGGGGCTTGAATCTGTCTTTTCTACAAAGCTTACTTAGAGTACTCGAGTCTTCTAATATATTTTACCATATATTTTATTTTTTAGATTACTAAATAACCTAATAAGAAAGTCTTGGAAATCTTTTTAAATTTGAGAATGGTTTTTTTTTATAAAAAATAAATTCCGGTTAAATTTCATTTTTTAAAAAAATGAATTTTATTATTGAAATAATGTGAGATTTTTTTTCACAATTTGTGCTTTATTAATATATTTTGTAAAAGTACTTCAAAAGAATATATCAAAGTAGGTAGATCAATTAGGTATTATGTCAACAAGTCATGTAACGATTAATTTTTAAAGAAATAAAATAAATTTTGCAAGACAATTATATTTTATCGCTATCAAATGGATTTCGCGAGTTATTGTGCAAGCAATATTAAAAACTAATATTAATTTGCCTCTCATTGAAAGGCTCTTGATTACTTATAATAAAAATTCTGCTTATCTTTATAAACTCGTACATTGCAATATTCAAAACTTTTTTATTCAAAAGCAACTACTTATTAACACGTGATTAGTTTTGTACAAACGTAAGTTTTTTAATTATCTAATTAATTATTCCTCAATTATGTAAAATCTTGCACTTTTTTTTTTATTAAAAGACCATTGTTTCCATTTTTAGAACATTTATGAATGAAAATGTGCACATTATTATATATAGGTCCAATGAATAAACTTATTAAAAGTTCTTAAAGTAATTTGATTTTCATATGTAAATAATAGAAAAAAGAAACAAAGAAGTCGAATTTTATTAAAGTTTATTACTTATATTTATATTAATTAGTGAATGATTTTATTTCTAATTTTGTGATTTCATATATACAAAATAATATTACACGATTTATATAAATACAATCGGTTGCATTATTTACTAGTTTAATATGTTGGACGTAATGGCAAACGATATTCGCGTTGTGGTTGGTTTAGGTAAAGCATAATATTAAGAAATTGGTATTCTAATACCGTTTTTTAATGCCAAATTAATTAATTGCATTATATAATCCGTAGATTTTGGAATCATTTATTCGGTAAATAATATACTTTCGTCATGTTACGTTAGAATTGATTACTATATGAAAGAATTTTTCTTTTTGATAGGGATTTTCTTTATATCATGTTGAAGAATACGATATCGCGAAAATTGTAACAAATACTGAATGGCCTGGAAAGGGAGGGAAACACAAAACGAATACAGCACTTCGATATGATGATGACTTTGAATTGATTGAATTTTGGGGTCATCCGGCCTTGTTTAAGAAAAGTAGAGATGATAACAAAACAATAGGATTATTTAAACTGTATTTAGGTAATTGTTTAGTAAAGTTCAAACCAACGTTGCCGGAACCATTAACATATAGAAAAGCGATTACTGATTACCTTTATGAAATGGGAAAGGTAAATAAATAATCGGATTATTTGAATGTTAAATAATCTATTTTAGCTTTAATATTCTCTAATTTTATTTATTTTAATTAATAAAGTTGATTAAAGAAACAATTCCTAAACACTGGTCTGGAATTGACTTTATGGAACATGTTCTTTTGGTTCTTACTGTACCAGATGAATATTCAGAAAATGATATAGCTATATTGAGAGAATGTATATTCAATGCTGGGCTAATTAGTGACAAACGTTCTGAAAGATTGCAATTTACAACTGAACGTATGTTTAACGTTAATTTGTTTATACTAGTGATTTTTACGATAATAAATATTAAATGTATTAATATGGAGAAATATTAATATAGTAGAAGCCGTAGCAATTTACTGTATGTATAGTAGCTTAAGAGAACACAGACTTAAAGAACCTGGAAGTAAGTTTTATATTTGTAAATTATGTTTAACATTTAAAATTTTCGTTATATTATTATTGTTTGCTAAATATTCATTCTTTGATAAAGCAACTTTTATGATCGTCGACTGCGGCGATGATACAGTGGATTTAGAACTATTAGGAACATATCAATTAAGTGAAATTACTGAACGAGCTAGATACCTTTGTAGTACTTTTATTGATAAAGAATTTATTGAACTACTTAAACGTGAAGTTGGAAATTCAGCTATTGATTTGTTTAGTGATAAGAATTATGGTCAATTGCGATATTTAGTTTATGAATTCTGTCAAAATGTTAAGTTACCATTCAGTGGAAACAATCCATATTTTAGTTACGAAATTGATCTTGAAAATATTGCTCCTGCGTTATTAAAATATGTTACTGGTTCAAAGAGGGATTTGATGGAAGAAAAAGAATGGATGATTACACTTGATTTTGATACTGTTAAAGCCATGTTTGATCCTATTATTGATAGAATTATCGAAATGATTCGGATTCAGCTCGATAATTCTAAAAATTGTTCAGCAATATTCTTAGTTGGAGGTTTCGGTAAATCCAAATATTTACAGAAAAGAGTCGATGAAGTATTTAGCAAATCGGTAGAAAATATCTCGATTCCGAATCAACCTGTCACAGCAGTTTCACGTGGCGCAACAATATACGGGAAAGGGTTATTAGAATCAAGAAATTTGAATAATGTAAAATATGTTATCCCAACTCGCGTATTGATATATACGTTTGGAGTAAAAATATCTCCTTTATGTGAATATGGAGATCCGCTAGATCGACTCACGAGCGATGGGAGAATTCATAAATTTCGTCGTATTGTAGAACGTAATACTGAAATTACAATTGATCAAGAATTTATAGTTGAGAACTTAGTTCCCATTCATCCGGATCAAACAAAAATGAGCTTTGAGATATACTATACAAAAGAACAGAATGCGGTTTATTGTGATGAACCTGGCATGAAGTTGGCTGGAAGTCTACTCATTGACATTCCCGACGTGCATTTAGGAACTAATAGACCTTGTACATTTTGCTTATCATTTGGTGATATGGAAATTAAAGCTAAAGCTTTTAACAAATTAAATGGGCAAAATTATCAAACCAAATTTGAAAATACACACTCATCACGCGTTATTTGGATCACGCCAAAAGTCAAATGTTTATACGTCGAACCGTTATAATAAGTCGTTAACTCTGCGTTAGCTACTGGACCAACCAACTTATAGTAAACAGATGGATTCGTGTTTTAGGTGCAGCTTCAATAATTCGAGATTCGATCCTTTGAAATTTTCTTTTTTTATATCACTGAATTAATTATATGTAAATCGTATAGTTTCATTATAATAATGGATGTCTTTTAACATATTTCAATCATACTTATAAGAGATTTCAACTAGTTAGTATCTTTTCCATATTTAATATCTGTAATAATAAAATTACAAGCATAAAAAAATTAACATGTTTAATTGCAAATTGCCAGCATTGAATATACACTTTTTATTATTCCTAAATATTCGGCTGGTACAGTATATAGGAATAGCTTCTTTAATCAACTTATCATTTATCAATTAAAAATAAATGAACTCGTGATTATTTTAATGTATTTATTTAATATATAAAATCCGATTATAATCAATAATTGCTAACTTTGGTTTAAATGTTTCTAAAGGTTTACATGTCAATTAACATTGTATTGATTAATAAATATTTTTCAAAGTTATTTTACTTATTTATTTACAAACTTTGTTTTCGTCCATGACTCACTGATTTTTGTCTCTGACTTGGTGAAGTCACCGAACGAGAAGGAGACTTTTGCAAAAGCATGCTCGTCAATAAAAAAATCTTAGAACTTAAATGTAAATTTAAAATATTCAACTATGCTGGTATAATAATAAGTAATATAACTGAAGTGAATGAACTTCAATTGGTACGAAATTTCCATTAATCTTCTGCATCTAGACCTTATATACTTTCTTATTATTTTATTATTTGGTAATATGGAATTAAAGCTAGGCTTTATAATACAAGTAATCATACTGCAAATTTTTTGTCATGATTTATATTTATTTGTCTAATATCATTGAAGTAATTTCACAGGTTCACAGGTCAAAAACAGTGCCTAGGATGCGTGTTTATGTAATAGAAGGTTTAATTCTTAGGTTGATATCTATGAAGTCTGGTAATAAATTATAAAATTATCCATTATTAAATTAATATTCATTCTAAAGGCTATAAATATGGCCTTAATTTTTTAAAATGTCAAAGTTTGTTAAACGTATATTTTATTAAATTTCATAAAAAATGAAAATATTTGTCATCAAATATAATAAATTCTATAATTATTATTCACATTTAAATGAAACATGGTATTTGGCACCAGTTTTTTGATTTTCAGCAGTAGCTAAAATTTCAACAGATCCGAAAGATAAAGTAAATAAAATTGTTGTGTCTTCCATGTCTTCAATATTTTCATTCTTTGGTAATTCAATCTCCCAATTACGAAGTAAACTCACTCCAGGATCATTACAAAATTTTGCACCGGTATTTTTTGTAACGTACATATTAAAACCAATTTTTTGTTGCATTATTGAACATGGTTCAAATGCTTTAATAACTTTTTTATTTGCTGGAACTTGTTCACCTCGTTTTGCGAGTGCGTCAAAAATTATAGTTAAACCATTTGGAAATTTCTCTGACGCTGGATCATCTGGTTTGGATGGTCGCGCAATATCGGTTCCTATAATTAAAAGCTTTAGATTTTTTATGATAATGCATATAAATAAATAATTAGAAAATTTTGTTATACCGTATGTTCGCTTTAAGACACGATTCATAACCCTATCTTCATGAAGTCCAAACTGAACTCCACCTTTAATGATGGCAATTATAGGATGTATTGGTACAGAAATATTCGGAACAATTTTACTAAATTCCTGTTTAATTCTAGCTTGTAAGTATTTAGATTCACTAAATCCACCAGTTAACATCAGAGCAGAACATTTTTTATTACTCTTTTCTAGTTGTCCTCTTATCAACCGAATAATTCTTCCTATAACTGGATCAACCATCGCTTTAATATCTTCGAAATCAATTTCTATCGACCAATCGGATTCTTCTAACCGATTTTTCTCTTCTCCAGTAACATACTGTTTTATTAATTTATAATCATCTAAATCTATATCATAAGTCTGAAAATCTGACTGTTGTCCTGTAAATGGGATTTTAACCCGTCTACAAAATTCTTGCACTATATATTGCAATAGACTATAATGGTCTTTTTTTAAGATTTCAATTACAGATTTTCCTAATTTACGACTTAGAAATTTTACAAATTCTTGATCTATGAAACTTGATCCACAGTTATCTCCCGTACGTTCTGTTACTTCACTCATCTTATTGCCATCCAATAATTGTCGTGTTGTTAAGTCTACCGTGCCACCACCACAATCAACAATCATAAACGATGCTGTTATATTGCAAAATAATTTATTTAATAGAGAATCACGTAATTATTTAACAAGATTTATTTTTTATCATACCTCCTGTGCTTAAATTATATTGTCCTTTCATAGAATTCAAACAATATATCGCAGCAGCTTCAGCTATTTTTCAAAAAAAAAAATAAAAAATGATTTAATAATTTCCAAGTTATTAGAAAGTTGTATATGAATTACATACGTTCTGTCGTAAATTTTAAGTTTCTACTAAACCTGTCTTTTGTCAGTCCTGCATAAAAAGCACATTCACGCATAGTTGAGATTGCATCATCATCAAACTCTGCCGGTATCTTTGGTAAATGATTAATAGAAAAAGATAATATTAATTAATAAAAATTTCGAATTTTTTACAAATGAAAACAAATATAAGAAATACCGTAAGTATAATTAAAACTTGTCTATAAAAATCCAAATTTTGCCAATTACGAGCACAACTATTTTTAATCATTTCAACCAATTTTTTTAAGTAGTCTGTGATAACTTTCTTAAAGTCCAATCCTTCGGGTAAAAAAGGTTTTTCATTTGACAACTCCTTTATTAAATGTAATTTAAATAATTCGATAGGTTTTGATGGATCAGAAATTTTTTTTTTATTTGATGGTTTTTCTGCTAAGGCAGGAAACCCCCAAGATTTTACAATGGTGTACGATTCATCTTCATATTTTATAACGGTTGGGGTTTTATAATGAGGTTCTAATTCATTCCAGTCTTCTTGTACAATTATATCTTCTGGGTTGGACTTGTGAGCACAAGCATAGCCCTATTTAATTGAGAATTTTGATTCATTACATAAGATTTAACATAATTGTTATCTTGGTTAGTTATCTAGTTATCTCGTATTATTATGCACTGGCATAATTAACGAGATTTTATTATGAACAATCCTTTCAAACCGATAATATTATTATTGAATGACTATTTATTATGTAAAAATCTTACAGAATAAGTTGTTCCAAAGTCTGTCAAGTATTATATTGAAAAAAATTAAGAAATTATAGTTTATTTAATAAAATTTGAATTTTCAATAAGTAATAACAAACATACCAATGGATACTACAACTCGAATGTCATCATTCAAAAGAGACATTTTCCTTCGAAATTATTTATTTCTTTCGTACACCTGAAAAGTTTAATAAAATTAATGAACAGTTGCAGATCAGATAATCAAAAATTATTTAAATTATATATGTACTGTATAAAGAATGATCATTACTATTTAAAAGTAACTGTGTATGATAAAAAAATTTTCTTGTTTTCTTGATAAGGGCAATTAAAAGCAATTTAGGTTAGCTTCCGGTATTCATCTCCGGTATCAGTTTCAAAGTATGTGATAAGATCGAATACATTTCAAACCTAAATTTTCTTTTTCTCAAGAGTGATATTAATGAATTATAAATTATCATTAATATTGATAAATAATAGACTTACCCTGTACAATTATCAAAATTAAATTCTCTTTTTTCTTTTTTTTTTAAAAAAAAATAAAATAATAAACCATATATAGGGATATTGTTACGTATCTGATACGGTGATACCAATGGCCTGGCGAGTTGGTCAATTAAAGACAAATCAATATAATAAACTTTATAAGAAAATTGAATCATGGGGATATCCAGCATTATCGAAACGAAGAAGGGAAAGGAAATAGAAAAGGATCAAAGCCTGTTGAATTATTTAAATTACGTCTAGGAAAACTGGCAAAGCCGGAACTTTCAGCTAATTACAAAAAGTTATCTTCGAAAAATCGGGAAAGTTGATTAAAGAAATAATTAGAACTAATCGGGAGGAATTGTTAGTGATGCTTATGGTGGCAATGTGACTAGTAATAACGATTGCGACGATCCTTATTGGAAATGATACAAATACAACTTGATAATACTCGAGAAACATGTTTTGCGATGTTTTTGGCAGGAGGATTCATTAATCAAAAAAGAACTAAATAAGAATTCAACGCTGAGTGATAAATATTTCTGTTCTCCTACATCCTGTTGCATGCAGTGCAGCTTTATATGGATTGAGTATGATAAATTCACACCCGATTTAGACAGAATGAATTGAATTCTCTTAAATTCGGTACACTTTGGGATTAGAGTGAGTACTGAATGAAAGACGTATTTATAAATCCCGTAGCTTGTCGCGAAAAAAGAGCTGTAGCAAAATTAATCAAGAATTTACTTTAGATATTGTACTAGAACACGATACTCTCACTTTTTATACTAAATATAGCGTACAATATTGCGATAAAAATAGGTGGAAATCTAATTTCCCTTCCTGATGTTCATATTATTTGAGATAATAAAGCTGCATTGTTTGGATTAACGTTTGGGCGAATGGAAATAATTGACACTGAAATAATTGACACTGCTAAAATTAGATACATAATTTTACAGAATTTTTTTAGGATGCATAGAATTGAAAATTTTAATAATTCAAATTTATTTTTTGATACATCTTAAATATAATATTTACATTTAGGTCACAAAAATATTTCTTCCTTCACGCTTCTATGTTTGCTTATGAACATCCTCATTAGAATTTACCTGTTGAGCTGGATCTTCTTTTGACGGCATCACATTTTTCACAATTTTGCGTCCTCTTTCAAGTAGTGTACTAGTTACGTTAGCATAAGTTTGCTCTTGGTATATTGGAAAAACTTTAGCACGAGTATATAATTTACGTTTGGACGAATCATTCAAATTCAAGCCAATAACTGGAAAATAACACAAATCTACGAATAATATATCGATATCTTCTTCTCCTTTTTCCCATATTCCTGACATTGTATTTGTATCTATTTTAACATGAGGATTAATCCAAACTGATGAAATAGTTGGCTCTTGAGCACGTAAACGAAACCAAAATATTCTAATAATTTCACGAACTATATTCGTGGCCATATTTTCAACAGGTTGTTTTTTTGCTGGATCAATAATTGTACGATATTCGTTCATAGAATCGTTTAAAATATGCTTAGTGCGTTCAATAAAATCGTGTTCAATGGTTTGATTTTTTTCTATAATTTCTGAAAATCCTCTATTACTAAGAGCCACACAAGCTTCTTGTCGAATTTTTATCGAGGATGTTGGCGTGATTGTGTCCACTCCTTTACGAGATCCAGAAAGTTTATTTAATTTTGAACACAAATGAAGAGTTTCATACAAAATTTCCGATTCTAGGGATCCTGAATTATTGAAATAATTCCTAGCTTGTTCAATGACTGTATCTAAAACATGCCGTTGTAAAATTGCCTTAATAAAAGATCTATTTGGTTTTTCCTTTGTGATTTTTGTACGACATCCATAGTATTGTATAAGCTTTTCTACATTACTAAAATTAATCTCAATTTTTCCTTTTAAATTGGTGGCGTAATTTTCAATGGAGTCCTGTAATGATAAAATGTCATTTTTTAATTGAACCGAATGATTCTTATAATCACTTGTTCTAAAATTTGTCGCTACTCCAAGAGCCGACTGATATTTGGATGCTTCTTCTTTCAAAGCGATATTATTTGTTTTAAGATCATTTAAATCTCTTTTATTTGCATCAAGTTCTTCCTGAATTATTTTATATTCTGTTTTAAAAGATTCGATGTAATCCTTATAGCTTTGTAATTCTTTATCGGCATCAAATAACTTTTGATTCAATTCTTGAACCTTTAATTCATAGTCATTTTTTTTCCTTTTAATAATCTTCTCATAATGACGCTTTTGTGATTCTAATTCTTCTTGAAGACTTTCGCAATCATCATTATTAGCATAATTTTTTTTATAGAATTGAATAGATTTTTTCAATGATGAAATTTCTTGTTTAAGTTTTTCATTCTCGAGATTTAATTGTATTTCTTTAGTTTCATCACCCACGTCGTCTTCATTATTTTTATCATCATTTTTTTTTTTTTCATCATCTACGTCGCCTTCATTATCATCATTTTTCTTTCCACCATCTACGTCGTTTTCATTATCATCATTTTTTTTTTCGTCAACTACGTCTCCATTATTTTTACCATCATTTTTTTTCCCATCATCGACGTTTTCATTATTTTTATCGTTTTTTTCTTCATCCTCAGGTAAACTGTCAAGATTTTCTTTAGTCGTTGAAGAAAATTGCGCGTCGGTGGCGTCACTTTTGTGACCAGTTTCTTTCATGTACTTATCCTGGACTTCTTCGTGATTACCAAGATCAGCTTCCATTTTTTTCGTTTTATATTTGATGATAAATTTTTTTTGACGTAAATAAAAAATTTTTTTTTAATAACTTTGTGATATTTGTTCATCACATAGTACCAAAAACAGGATCAATTTTTCTACTTTCGTAAATTCTGATTGCACCAATATAAACTAATGTAGTAAATAGTCCTTGTTTCAGTACTACTAAAACGGGTAAATACACACTTAGAAAAAACACGAAAACTCCGAGAAAGTTACCAAATTTGCTTTGATTTAAATATAGTTGGTACTCTGGTATATGGTTACACGCAACCATTCATTCATTTTTCTATAAATAACCGGTTGAAACTAGATTTTTTCTGTAACCAAAAAAATGACAGATCACTCGGATATCCGTGTTGTGGTCGGTTTAGGTAATGTATATATATATATTTTCTCAAAAGTAACATTTATCATTCAGATTGTTATAATTAACTGGTTTTACCTACAGATTTTGGAACAACTTACTCGGTAATTTGAAATTTATTATCATTGAACTTATTAAAAAGATTCAGAATTAAACAAGATACATTTTTATATATTTATAAAAACTTTAGGGATTTACTTATTGTCACGTATCTGATGACAATAACCTTGTTACTAATGATCAATGGCCTGGCGAGATAGGTCAATTAAAAACAAATACGGTACTTCAATATGACGAACATTATAGAAATGTTGAATCATGGGGATATCCAGCGTTATCGAAACGTCCAAATAAAAAAAAGAAAACTAAAAATGGATCAAATCCTGTTGAATTGTTTAAATTACATCTGGGAAAACTGTTAGACAATCTCAAGCCGGAACTGCCAGTAAATTATAAGAAAGCTATTACTGATTATTTTCGAGAAATTGGAGAGTTGATTAAGGAAATGGTTACAACTCATTGGTCCGGAATTGATTTCTTAGAGAATGTTCTTGTTGTTATAACCGTTCCTGCGGAATATTCAGAGAAAGATAAAGCGATTATGAGAGAATGCGCATATGATGCCGGACTTATTATAGAAAGGGAATCGAAAAATTTACAATTTACTACAGAACGTAAGTAAAAGAACTAAAAAGACCAACTTATTCACTATTTTATATTTAATTATTTGTTTTTTGTAGCCGAAGCTGCTGCGATTTATTGTATGGAGAATAATTTAAAAGTAAATAATCTTAATACTCCCGGAACTACTTTCATGATAGTCGATTGTGGCGGTGGCACAGTAGACTTGACAACACGAAAATTATTGGATGATAAACAACTAGGTGAAGTTACTGAACGAGCTGGGGACTTTTGTGGAAGTACATTTATTGATAAGGAATTTCTCAAAGCTTTACGCAAAATTCTTGGAGACCGTGCAATTGATTTATTAAGAGATAGTCATTATGGACAAATGCAATATATGATTCAGGAGTTCTGTCGCCATGTTAAATTACCATTCACTGGTGATAAGTCCGATTTTACTAATTATGAAATGGATCTTGAAGATGTAGTTCCTGTTGTAATGCAATATGTAACTGAAGAAGTGCAAGATAAGATGGAAGAAACTGATTGGGTAATAGAATTTGGATATGACGATATCAAATTAATGTTTGATCCCATTGTTGAAAGAATTATCAATATGATACAAATGCAACTTGATAACACTCGAGAAACATGTTCTGCAATGTTTTTGGTGGGAGGGTTCAGTCAATCTAAATATTTACAAAAAAGAATCAAAGAAAGATTTCAACACCGAGTAAATAGTATTTCTGTCCCTTTATATCCAATTGCAGCAATATCACGTGGTGCAGCTTTATATGGATTGAGTATGATAAATTCAGCACACAATTTAAACAGAATGAATTCTCTCAAATTCGTAATAAATGAACGTATATTAAAATATACTTATGGGATTAGAGTAAGCCGTGAATGGAAAGAAGGAGATCCAATTGAAAGAAAACTTCCTAGTGGACGTATTTTTAAATTTCGTAGTATGGCGCGAAGAGGAACCGTAGTAAAAGTCAATCAAGAATTTACTTCAGTGCAATTGCCAGTATTCCCAACTCAAAGTGCTATCAACTTTCATGTTTATTATACGACTGAATATAGCGCCCAATATTGTGATGAAAATGGGATGGAGAAACTTGGAAATCTTTTAATTTCTCTTCCTGATGTCCATCTTGGGAAAGATAGACCCGTATTGTTTGGATTAACATTTGGGCGAATGGAAATAACTGCTACTGCTAAGAATAAACTTAATGGACAAAATTATCAAACTACTCTAAAATTAGATATATGATTTTCCGATCAAATTTGTATTTATTTTCAATAATTTATTGTATAATTATCTAATTTATTTCTTTACGCCTATATCTTGTTTCCAGTTCTAATCTCCATTGTTTTACCTGATGAATTGAAAATTCCGACTTGTCTTTTGTTGTCACTACATTCTTCACATTTTTTTTTTCAAATGAACTGCTTGTATAACTTTGCTTTTGAATCTTGGAAAAACTCTATTACGAGTATAATCTACTTTTGGTCGGATTCAAACAAATCATTCATATTCCCACCATTATATTGTAAGAATCCGGGATGATGAGTTCTTGAACACACACATTAAACTTTAAATAGCAAGAACCATTCTAACTAAATTAATCAAGTCATATACCGTAACTAGTTATAGGCTATAAGTTTGTTCTTTAATTCTAATAAATTCATGTTGATTGTTCTTTCTATAGGTCATTAATTGTATGATATTCATTATAAGAGCTATACAAGCTTCTTGTCGAATTTTATTGATGATGTTCAATTTGTGTTCCTTTTTAATATTGAAAACAAATCGATTGTATTTGTTGTAGCCCAAATTAACCATGTTCTGATTTTGATTTGGGATATTCCTGAATCGGAATTTCTGCTTAATTTTTGATTTGAGATGCCTATGTCTGAAATGTAATCGTATCTTGGGATAATCGGATTTGGAGCCTGATCAGACTAGGTCATTTAGATCCAAAGTTGGATTTGAGATACAATACTATTTCGGAATTTGAATAACCCCAAATCTACAACATAACGTTGCAAAATTGCCTCAATAAAGGACCTATTTTGTTTTAGATATCCATAATCTTTATAAGCTTTCTACATTGAATATTAATCTCAAATATTTCCTTTGTAAATGTTTTAAATAATATTTTTTAAGTTGATCATTTTGACAAAATATTATAGGAGTTAGAATTTTACTAATTCAAGCAAAATTTAATAATATATTTATTTTTAACGATGAATCTGCATTCGTAATAAAGATTTCACAATAGGATGTAATTATTATTATTATTTTAATACCTAGGCAAGAGATACTATTACAAACGGAAAATAGAGTAACAATAAAAGCATATAAACAACTTGAAGAATAAAAAAATGAAATAACCAATAGGTGAGAATTGAATTAAACATCAAAGAAAAATAATCAATTTCTATAGACTAATGAGCGGTTATTATAGGAAGTCATATTTATAAATGCCGCAAACGTCATTTAGAATGACTACTGTTTTTTTCGCGAAAGTTCTTTCTGATATCGAAAGATTTGTTATTTTACGAAAAACGACCAAAAATTATCGTAATACAATCTAATCATCTGTGATACGGACATACAGTACGGTACTTCTTTTTTTAATATAGCTATTTAGGTTAGCTCAATGTTCATAAAACAAGGAAGATATGCCGGATATTCCTTAATTCAGTCCGATTATTTTTCTATAAATAACCTAAAAAAAATTGCAACAAAAAAATTTTCTTTATAGAAATTATTACTAACTAACCAAACAAGCTAAAAAAAAATGTCGGATTACTCGGACATCCGTGTTGTGGTCGGCTTAGGTAAAATTTTCTTTTAACTTTTCTTTTAAGAGTGAATATTAATAAAATGTTTATATTTAACAAGATTTTTCCCTTCACAGATTTTGGAACTACTTACTCAGTAATATAAAACCTATTAAGTTCACCAAAAGACTCAACAGAATTAACAAAAACATTTCCTTTTAATTTTAGGGATTTACTTATTGTCACGTATCTGATGATGATAATCTTGTTACTAATGATCAATGGCCCGGCGAGATAGGTCAATTAAAAACAAATACGGTACTTCAATATGACGATTATATGAATGTTGAATCATGGGGATATTCAGCATTATCGAAACGCCCAAATAAAAAAAAGAAAACTAAAGACGGGCGTAAACCTGTAGAGTTATTTAAATTACATCTGGGAAACTTGGTAGACAATCTCAAGCCGAAACTGGCAGTAGATTATAAGAAAGCTATTACTGATTATCTTCGAGAAATTGGGAAACTGATTAAAGAAATGGTTATTACCCATTGGTCCGGAATTGATTTCTTAGAAAATGTACTTATAGTTATAACCGTACCTGCGGAATATTCAGAAAAAGATAAAGCAATTATGAGAGAATGCGCATATAATGCTGGACTAATTAATGAAAAGTTTTCGAAAAAATTACAATTTACTACAGAACGTAAGTAATAAAATACTTTATGATAGATCTATTTATAATTATCTTAATTAATTTATTATTCTTTTTTCGTAGCTGAAGCTGCTGCGATTTATTGTATGGAAAATAGTTTAAAAGTTAACGATCTTAACACTCCCGGAACTACTTTCATGATAGTCGATTGTGGCGGTGGTACAGTAGATTTGACAACACGAAAATTATTAGATGACAAACAACTGGGTGAAGTTACTGAACGAGCTGGAGACTTTTGTGGAAGTACATTTATTGATAGGGAGTTTCTCAATACTTTACGCAAAATTCTTGGAGACCGTGCAATTGATTTATTAAGAGATAAGCATTATGGACAAATGCAATATATGATCCAGGAATTCTGTCGCCATGTTAAATTACCATTTACTGGAGATAAGTCTGAATTTACTACATATGAAATGGATCTTGAAGATATAGTTCCAGTTGTAATGGAATACGTAACTGAAGAAACACGTGATAAGATGGAAGAAACTGATTGGTTGATAGTATTTGAATACAATGATATCAAATCAATGTTTGATCCTATTGTCGAAAGAATTATACAAATGATAGAAGTGCAACTTGATAATACTCGAGAAACTTGCTCTGCAATGTTTTTAGTAGGAGGATTTAGTCAATCAAAATATTTACAAAAAAGAATTAAGCAAAAATTTCAACCTCGAGTGAATAAGATTTCAGTTCCCACATATCCCATTGCGGTGATATCACGCGGTGCAGCTTTATATGGATTAAGTATGAAAAATTCAGCATATAGTTTAGAAAAGATGGATTCCCTTAAATTTGTGATAAATGAACGTATATTAAAATATACTTATGGAATTAAAGTAAGTCCTGAATGGGAAAATGGAGATCCAATCGAAAGAAGAGATTCTGATGGAACTATTGATAAATTTCACTTGCTGGCACGAAGAGGAGCTGTTGTAAGAGTTAATCAAGAATTTACTTCAGTGCAATTGCCAGTATTCCCAACTCAAAATGCTATCAATTTTCATATTTACTATACGACTGAATATAACGCAACATATTGCGATGAAAATGGAATGGAGAAACTTGGAAACCTTTTTATCTCTCTTCCTGATATTTATCTTGGAAAAAATAGACCTGTGTTGTTTGGATTAACATTTGGACGAATGGAAATAACTGCTACAGCCAAGAATCAACTTAATGGACAGAATTATCAAACTACTTTAAAATTAGATATATAATCTTTGCAGATTTTTTTTTTTGTATTTTATAAACAAAAAGTTATATGCAATACATTTATTTCGATAATTTAACATATATTAATTAAATAATAGTTAAGGTGATAAAATAATATTTCTTTACGTTTATTAATCTCGTATTCCGATTCGTTGTTGTTTAAATATCGAAAGAACAACATAATCAACTTAATAAAAAAAAACCTTAAGTTTGTAATTTTCATTCAATTTAGATTTTACGAGCGTTGCATAATTTTTGATCTTTGATAGTTGAACGTTGTTCATTTAATATCTCGTTTTTACTTTACTTTTCAAGAGCTGATTGATAAATTGAGGCTTCATCTTCTAGTTTATATACTTGTATTTCAGATTGAGCTTCAGATTTTATCATTTAATCTTTGCTTTTAATAAATTATTTATATAGTATTTATTTACTTATTTATTTGTCTATTTTCTATTTATTTATTGAATCTTAATAATATAAATAGTGACTAAATGAATCGAACCAAGGTGAAATACCACCAATACTATTAACAAACAAGAGATTAAATAGCATATAAACACTTTGAAGAAGGAAAAAGTGAAGAAATAACCAATAAATCAAGCGGATTGCGAAAAAGACTTTGAAAAGATAAAGATGAAGTCTCTTAAGAAAGTAAAAATCTTTAGAAGTTCTGAGGCAAAAATACTTATAAAACATTGTTTCAAACTTTCAATCCGGATTAATTTTCAATTCACTCTCATTTGTTATTTTATTTTACTTTATAAATCGTTAAAAATTTGTTTATCATCAAAATTTTAATCTTTTGAGTTTTCATACATCTAGTATTAAGATACAGTCTTAAGATAATCTCATCACTTTGTTGTATCTGCTGTGGCATCCGAATTAAAACCAGTTAAATTTTATGTATAGAAAGGCAATTATCGGATGGTTAATCACGTGTTATATTTAATGAGTGACACTTTCCTGAGGATTACCCTTCGGGTTCAGAATATTAGTGTCGGGAGGCAGTAGTTTTGTTTTGTAATTTCATAACAAAAAATTGGCTATAATATTTTATTAACGCGCTCATATAAAATATATTATACTAGATATTTTAGGAGAAATTGTATGATCTATTCATTCTATTGTATATTTATTTTTACAGAATTTGCTATAATATTACATTTCAGGCAAGGGTTAAATAATAATAAAAATCGACCGTTCTTTACAATCTATCACATAACGTATGTTAATTTGGATTGGAGAAGGAAATCGCGAAGACTCGTTTATTAAAATGTAAAATTTACTGTAATGAATAAAATATCTTAATTTTAACTATTACTTACTAGCCTGAACAATTATTTAGTTCGTTCACTTTATCTTACCAATATTAGATGACTTACTCTTAGGTGAGAATCTCGAAATATATATGTAAAAAAAAAAATTAAAATTTCAGCATCAAGCGAAAAATATTTTCAGTCCCTATCACGCGGTGCAGCTTTATATGAAATGAGTAATAAATTCAGCACCCAATTTAAACAGAATGAATTCTTTCAAATACGTAATTACATTAAAATATACTTATGAAAGAAGAGATCCAATCAAAAGAAACCGTCCTAATGGACGTATTTATAAATTTACTGTAGTAAAGAATTTCTTTAGATAATTACCAGAAAATGTAAATCAAGATACTATCAGCTATCAATTTCATATATATGAAATGGAAATCTTATAATCTCCCTTCTTGAGAATTACAGATCTGTATTATTCGGGTTAACATGGCGAATGGAAATAATTGCTACTACAAAAATTAGATATATAATCTTGCAGTTTATGGGACTGTATTTTACTTATTATAAATTATTAAATTTTGAATTTTAAACTTTACACTTAAACCTTTCCATTTATTATGATTCGTTATTTGTTTAATGCCCAAGTTACTATACCTCTGACAAAATCTCGTTATCTTATTATTCATCATACAGGATAACTACTTATTAGCCACTCTACTTAACTCTTGAGTCTTGATGTCTTGGAAAACTTTAGCACGAGTAAAATCTAGATTATCGATCATTTAGTGTGAGGCTTAATCCAGTTTACTTCAATAATAGCTGGTCTTGAACACGTAATCCAAAATCAATAAATCCACGAAGCCATATTTTCAACAGACATTCATCCAAATATTTAATTAAAAGTTTAAAACATGCTTAGCTGAAAATTCTGTGCTAAGAATTTCAGAAAATTTAAAATTCGTAACGTTATGAATTTGTTTTTCCTTTGATATTAGTAAGAATTCTAGCTTTTTTATATTGGAAACATAAAACTTTATCCAGTTTCAAGAGCAGACTGATATTTGGATTCTTAATCATTTGGAACAGCATTACTTTTTTAAGATCACTTACAGTATATCCCTTTTTTTGTATCAAACTCTTTCGTAAAATTTTCTAAACTCTGGTTTGATTTTTGAAAGTTTCAAGTGTGATTCTTATAACTTCGTATTCTATATTATCATTTAATTTTTATTTAATTCTCTATTAAATTTTTCTTATTGCTGTTTTGTGATTCTAAATTATTAATGAGTATAATTTCTTTAGTAATATTCACTGTCAATGACGGATTTCTTTCTTAAGTGCTTCATTTTCGAGACTTAATTTGTAAAACCAACTTTCATTATAAGTATTCCAAAATCTACCTGCATCATGTGACATTTATATCTTTATTATTTATTATCTTTATTATCATGGTCAGATGAAATATCAAGATTCTTTCTAGTTGTGAAAGAAATTCAGTGTCGATGGCGTCACTTATATCGTTATTAGTCTTTCTATCAGAATCTTGTTCGCTTCCTGTATGCATCTTGAACATCATCACCAGTATCCATTTCTTTCGTTGTACAGTATATTCGATACTTCAAGGTAAATAATTTTTTTTTAATTAGGGACAAAACTTAGTCAGATGCCGGATTGGAACACTGATCCTAACTCAGCTCGGTTTTATTAAAAAATAATAAAAATGTGAGCCATCTCTCAATTGATTTGAGCTATTATATAAATCTCTCTTGGAAATCACGTGCTTTAACTCTCAAAAGGAGCGTTAGATCACCCCTTATCTTAAAACTATTGGATAAACCAATTTAGGTTAGCTCTGCGGTGTTCATCTATAAAAAGCAAAGGAGTGCGATAAAGTCGAATAAGTTATTATCTGTTATTTAAACAACCAATTTAAGAAAAAAACCCCTTTTCCTGGTAAAATCGTAATAAAAATAAATTACTCGTATTTCTTCGTATTTCTTTCAAGAGTAAATATTATATTTATTTTATATATATGTATATATATAATAAATAATTAACTTTTCACGGATTTTACAACTTACTCGGTAATCTTAAATTTAATATATTATAGTTAAATATTTATAAATTGAAGTAAAGCATTCTCTTTAAAAAAATTTAAAATTTTAGGGGTTTACTATCTGATGATGGTAATTTTGTTACTAATGATCAATGATGGGCTAATTAAAAACCAATATAGTACTTCAATATGCGAACATTATATGAATGTGAATCATGGAGATATCTAGCTTTATCGAAACGCCCAAATAAAAAGAAGAAAACTAAAAATGGATCAAGGCCTGTTGAATTGTTTAAATTACATCTAAGAAATCTGTCAGACAATCTCAAAACTTACAAGAAAGCTATTACCGATTATCTTCGAAAAATTGGAGAATTGATTAAGAAGATGGTTGCAATCCATCGGTCTGGAATTGATTTCTTAGAGAAGGTTCTCGTTGTTATAACCGTTCCTGCGAAATATTTAGAAAAAGATAAAGCAATTATGAGGGAATGCGCATTTACTTATTAAAGAAAGATACTTGAAGAATTTACAATTTACTACGGAATGTAAGTAAAAAAAAAATAAAAAAAAGAATTTTAAACAATTTTTTAAATAATTTTTATTTTGTTTATTTATTCATTATTTTTTTTTTTTTTGTAGCTAAAGCTGCTGCGGTTTATTGTATGGAAAAAGTAACCGATCCGGAAGTCCGAAACTACTTTCATGATAGTCGATTGTGGCGGTGGAACAGTAGACTTAACTACTCATAAATTATTGGGGACAAACAGCTGAGTGAAGTTACTGAACGAGCCGGAGATTTTTGTGGAAGTACATTTATTATTGGTAGGGAATTTCTCAATGTTTTACGTAAAATCCTTGGATACTGTGCCATTGATTTATTAGAAGATAATCATTATGGACAAATGCGGTATATGATCAGGAATTCTGTCTTAATGTTAAAATACCATTCACTGGGGATAAGTCCGAATTTACTGGCTATGAAATGGATAGTTCCCGTTGTAATACATATGTAACTGAAAGAAGTGCAAGAGAATATGGAAGAAAACGATTGGGTAATAGAATTTGGATACGATGATATCAAATCAATGTTTGATCCTATTGTTGAGAGAAGCATTAAAATGATACACATGCAATTGGATAATAATCGAAAAACATGTACTGCAATGTTTTTGGTAGAAGAATTAAGCCAATCGAAATATTCGCAAAAAAAAATTAAACAAGAATTTCGGCATCGGATGAAAAATATCTTAGTTCTATTACAATCTATTGCAATATCATACGGTGCAGCTTTATATGGATTATGATAATTTCGGCACCCAATTTAAAGAATTCCCAAAATTCGTAATAAATGAACGTGTCTTAAAATATACTTATGGAATTAGAGTAAGTCATGTATGGAAAGAAGGAGATCTAATCGAAAAAGACGTCCTAGCGGACGTATTCATAAATTTCTTAACTTGACGCAAAGAGGAACTGTAGTAGAAATTAATCAAGAATTTACTTTGATGATATTTCCAATATCTCCGACTCAAGGTGCTTTCGATTTTCTTATTTATTATACGGCTAATTACAGTGCACAATATATTGATGAAGATGGGATGGAGAAATTTGGAAATCTTTTAATATCTCTTCCTAATGTTCATTCTGGATGAAGGTTTATATTGTGTGGGATGACATTTGGGCAAATTGAAATAACAGCTACAGCTAAAAATCAACTTAATGGACAGAGTTATCAAACTACATTAAAATTAGATGTAAAAATTTTTTTTTTCAAATTTGTATTTTTAAAGCAAAGAGTTATATGGAACACATTTCTCGAGAATTGTGTCGCTTATATTGCGGCTAGCCTTTCCATCAGGATCTTGTTCTCTTCCATTGTATTCATTTTGAATATCATCATCAGCTTCATTTCTTTCGTTATATGTTCGGAGAAAAGTTAAGATTTATTTTGACTCGGGATATGCTGGTGAGAGTTTATCACGTATAATGACGTATTACTAAAATATAGTTCAATTTTTTCTATAAAAGCTGATTAAATGATAACGATTCAAGTTTTTATTCCGGTTATTATCGTTATGCACCACAAACGTTGTCACAGATGAATCATTTTATTGAACATCATTTATCAGATATATTATACCAAAAATATTTATTAGCCTTTGTTTTTCATTGATAAATATTTTTCGCAACAAAACTCTTATCTATAAATGTATAGATGGACACATTTCTATTCGGGTATGTTTTTTCACACTGAACATTAGATTACATGCTTTAACCCATAGTGTTCAACCGATCTTGATGATGTACGACTAGCATCTTGATATGTTTACTGTATATATGGTACCACCATATAGGTCTATCAAGAAGACCCTATCAAGATCGATATTGTTCAGCTACATACGAGTTTATACTTGCAGATCAACAAATGCTGTGTAAGCAGGTTACCAAGACTTTTGTTACCTGATTAGGATGGATAATTGGTTCATCTGCAGAAATAAAAAAAATCGCATTCATTCAAATCTGATTTATTAAAAACAAATTTTTTTTTCTGGTATCAAGTATGTCAGATTACTCGGATATCCGTGTAGTGGTCGGTTTAGGTAAATTTTGATATTATATTGTCTTTCAAGAGTAAGTTATTACTATATTTACATTAAACAATTGTTTTACATAGATTTCGGAACAACTTACTCGGTAATCTGAGATTTATTAAATTCGAGTTTACCAAACATATCTATCTTAAATTAAACAAAGAAACACACTCTTTTTTTATATAAAAATCTTTAGGGGTTTACTTATTGTCACATATCAGATGGTGATAATCTTGTTTCTAATGATCAATGGCCAGGAGAGATGGGTCATTTAAAAACAAATACGGTACTTCAATTTATATATGAATGTTGAATTATGGGGATATCCAGCTTTATCGAAACGCCCAAATAAAAAAAAGAAAACTAAATATGGCTAAGGCCTGTTGAATTGTTTAAATGAAATTTGTCAGAAAATTTCAAGCGGAACTCCCAGTATATTATGAGAAAGCTATTACTGATTATCTTCGGAAAATCGGAGAGTTGATTAAGGAGATGGTCGCGTCCGGAATTAATTTCTTAGAGAATGTACTCATTGTTATAACCGTTCCTGCGGAATATTTAGAAAAGGATAAAGCAATTATGAGAAAATGCGCATATAACGCCGAACTTATTAAAGAAAGATATTCGAAAAATTTACAATTTACTACGGAACGTAAGTAAAAAAAAAAAAAGGACTTGAATAATTTTTTAAAATAATTTTTATATTTATTCATTATTTTTTTTTGTAGCTGAAGCTGCTGCGGTTTATTGTATGGAAAATAATTTAAAAGTAACCGATCTTAATACTCCAGAAACTACTTTCATGATAGTCGATTGCGGCGGTGGTACAGTAGATTTAACTACGCGTAAATTATTGAAAGATAAACAATTGGGTGAAGTTACTGAGCGAGCTGGAGACTTTTGTGGAAGTACATTTATTGATAGGGAATTTCTCAATGCTTTACGTAAAATTCTTGGGGACTGTGCAATTGATTTATTAGAAGATAATCATTATGGACAAATGCAATATATGATTCAGGAATTCTGTCTTAATATTTAAATACCATTCACTGGAGATAATTCCGATTTTACTAATTATGAAATGGATATTGAAGATGTAGTTCCCGTTGTAATGCAATACGTAACTGAAGAAGTACAAGAGAAGATGGAAGAAAATGATTGGGTAATAGAATTTGGATACGATGATATCAAATCAATGTTTGATTCCGTTGTTGGAAGAATTATCAAAATGATACACATGCAACTGGATAATAATCGAGAAACGTGTTCTGCAATGCTTTTGGTAGGAGGATTAAGCCAATCGAAATATTTGCAAGAAAGGATTAAACAAGAATTTCAACATCGAGTGAAAAATATCTCAGTTCCACTACAACCTATTGCAGCAATATCACGGGGTGCAGCTTTATATGGATTAAGTATGATAAATTCGGCGCCCAACTTCGAGAATTCTCATAAATTCGTAATAAATGAACGTGTCTTAAAATATACTTATGGAATTAGTCATGTATGGAAAAAAGGAGATCCAATCGAAAGAAGGCGCTCTAACGGACGTATTCATAAATTTCTTAGCTTAGCACAAAGAGGAACTGTAGTAGAAATTAATCAAGAATTTACTTCGATGATATTCCCAATATCTTCGACTCAAAGTGCTGTCGATTTTCTTATTTATTTTACGGCTAAATATAGTGCACAATATATTGATGAAGATGGGATGGAGAAACTTGAAAGTCTTTTAATATCTCTTCCTGATGTTCATTATGGAAGAAGGCCTATATTGTTTGGGCTGACATTTGGGCGAATGGAAATAACTGCTTCAGCTAAAAATCAACTTAATGGACAGAATTATCAAACTACATTAAAATTTGATATATAATTTTTTTTTTCAATTTGTATTTTGAAGCAAAAGTTATATGGTGCACATTTCTTGAGAATTTAAATCATCATGGTTGTATATTTCATTTTATTTAAAATAATTTATCTTACTTCCAGTTATAATTTCTATCCTCATGAGGAAATTTCATTCATCATAATCATGTTCTGTCTGCTGAATAGAAAATTCCTAGTTTCTTTTTCAAATGAACTGCTTGTATAACTTTGCTCTTGATATAACGGAGGAAATAACATACATATTTGGATTTATTATATCCAATATGTTGAAAAATTACCTCTAGATGAAACAAGGTCTGAATGCCGCTACTTTTGCAGTATCACTTTTTATCCTCTTTTTTTTGGATGAAGTTCCTTTTGAATGTTATAATCGTTGAATTTTGTGTCTCTTCCTTTAATAATCATTTTTTAATTGTTGTTTTTATGATTCTAACTTCATTCAGTTTCAGTTTGTTCGTAATACTTTCATTATAATCAATGTAATTTCCTTAACAGTTAATTGAACTGAATAAACCTTTTCGATGAAATTTCCTTTTAAGTTCTTCAATTTTTCCAACTAAATTTTGATAAAAGATTTATAATTCTTTAATTTTAAACATTCCAGATATTTGTCACGATCTTGCAAAGTTAAACGGTGTATAATCAGATATATAATCATCGCACATTAACTCATAGTAAATTATTGTTTTGAATCTTAATATAATATAAATACACTAAACAAGAAATCAATTGAATTGATCAAAGATACTGTGGAAAATCAAAGTCACAATCGTCCTTCGAAGTTCGAATCAAACTAACACTAAACATATGAAAATCTACAAATATTTTAGAAATGTTTTTTATCAGGGCAATAATATTCTTCTGTGATGTAGTCAGTTCACTTATTTTAGATACAGCCATACAGGTTTATATTTAAGTAAATTTAGCAGTTGATTTATTATGAGTCTGGCTTTTTTTACTCGGTTTATTCTCTAGTTAATTCGATTATGTGTTTAATGAGTTTAATCTTAATACTTTGGTAGGCCGATGTATAACTGTATAACCCAGTTGGTTTTCTAGATTTAGATTATTAGTATCAGGAGGTGGTAGTCTTATTTCATTTTTGAAAATTTAAAATAGATTATCTTTTTTATTGGCCTTTACACGTAATCTTATCGAATTTATACTGTAATACATACAAATGTCGCATAAATGTAAAACATTTAGGATTCTAACACTCGTTACTATTTAAAGTAATCATCTTTCTTGATAAAGCAATTTGGGTTTAGTCCGAGCGTTCACCTAACGTTGCCCGTTGCAAATATTACCTTCTTTGACCCTCCTCGTGTTACTGTTAAAACATTACACCTTTCCGAGGTGGTGTGGTAAGATCATTCCTGTTTTTACCACTTCATACGCATAATAGGTCAATTAAGGGATGTCGTACAAGATCAAATACGTGATAAAATCGAATATTTCTCATTTATTTTTCTATAAATAGCCTTAAATTAAATGTTTCCCTTTTTTTTTGTAAATTTTACTAGTATTTAACTAAACCAAAAAAAATGTCGGATTACTCAGATATCCGCGTAGTGGTCGGTTTAGGTAAAAAATTGATATTTTCTTTCAAGAGTAAATTATTATATTTAATATTAAATAATTGACTTTCTCAGATTTCGGAACAACTTACTCGGTAATCTGAAATTTATTATACTCGGAGTTTACTAAACATGTTTATTAAATTAAATAAAAAAAAATCAATTCTCTTTTATATATAAAAATTTTAGGGGTTTACATATTGTCACGTATCTGATGATGGTAATTTTGTAACTAATGATCAATGGCCAGGAGAAATGGGTCAATTAAAAACAAATACGGTACTTCAATATAACGAACATTATATGAATGTTGAATCATGGGGATATCCAGCTTTATCGAAACGTCCAAATAAAAAAAAGAAAACTAAAAATAGATCAAGGCCTGTTGAATTGTTTAAATTACATCTAGGAAATCTGTCTGACAATCTCAAGCCGGAACTGCCAGTAGATTATAAGAAAGCTATTACTGATTATCTTCGAGAAATCGGAAAGTTAATTAAAGAAATGGTTACAACTCATTGGGACGGAATTGATTTCTTAGAGAGGGTACTTATTGTTATAACCGTACCTGCAGAATATTCAGAGAAGGATAAAGGAATCATGAGAGAGTGCGTACATAAAGCTGGACTTATTAAAGAAAGAGAGTCGAAAAATTTACAATTTACTACAGAACGTAAGTAAAGAGTTTTGAATGAGTCATCACGAAATATTTCATTCAATTATTTATATTTTCTTTACAGCCGAAGCTGCCGCAATTTATTGTATGGGAAATAATTTAAAAGTAAATAATCTTGATACTCCTGGAACCACTTTTATGATAGTCGATTGCGGCGGTGGTACAGTAGATTTAACTACGCGTAAATTATTGGAGAACAAACAACTGAGTGAAGTTACTGAACGAGCTGGAGACTTTTGTGGAAGTACATTTATTGATAGGGAATTTCTCAATGCCTTACGTAAAATTCTTGGAGATCGTGCAATTAATTCATTAAGAGATAATCATTATGGACAAATGCAATATATGATTCAGGAATTCTGTCTTAATGCTAAATTACTATTCACTGGAGATAGGTCCGAATTTAGTAGTTATGAAATAGATATTGAAGATGTAGTTCCCGTTGTAATGCAATACGTAACCGAGGAAGTAGAAGAAAAGTTGGAAGAAGCCGATTGGTTAATAGAATTTGGATACGATTATATTAAATCAATGTTTGATCCTATTGTTGAAAGAATTATCACTATGATACAAACGCAACTCGGTAATAGTCGAGAAACATGTTCTGCAATGTTTTTGGTAGGAGGATTTAGTCAATCGAAATATTTACAAAAAATAATTAAACAAAAATTTCAGCGTCAAGTGAAAAATATTTTAGTCCCCCTACATCCCATTGCAGCAATATCTCGCGGTGCAGCTTTATATGGATTGAGTATGGTAAATTCAGCACCAAATTTAGATAGAATGAATTCTCTTAAATTCGTAATAAATGAACGTAAATTAAAATATACTTATGGAATTAGAGTATGTTGTGAATGGAAAAAAGAAGATTTAATAAAAAGAAAACGTCCTAATGGACGTACTTATAAATTTCGTGGTATGGCTCAAAGAGGAACTTCAGTAAAAGTTAATCAAGAATTTACTTTAAATATAACGCCAGAACATGCGGCTCAAGATACCATCACTTTTCACATATATTATACGACCAAATATAGTGCACAATATTGTGATGAAGATGAGATGGAGGAACTTGGAAGTCTTATTATCTCTCTTCCCGATATTCATCTTGGAAAAAATAGGCTTGTATTGTTTGGATTGACATTTGGACGAATGGAAATAACTGCCACAGCTAAAAATAAACTTAACGGACAGAATTATCAAACTTCTTTAAAATTAGACATATAATTTTTCGTATACTTTTGTATTTTAAACAAACGAGTATTGTATGGAACACACTTTTTTGAGAATTTAAAATCATCAATGTATATTAGCATTTTATTTATCTATCCTCATGAGAAAGTCGGTTTCATTCATTATAATCATGTTCTGTCTGTTGAATAGTAGAAGATTCCTAGTCTCTTGACATTACATACTTAACATACCCTTTTTCAAATGAACTGCTTGTATAATATACCTTAACATACATAAATCCACATTAAGTTACCTGCCTTCTATCATTATATTTGGATTATTGAACCTAGGATGTTGAAAGAATTAAAATCAAATCATTTCTTGAATACGTAGATGAAAACAGATAATTTTATAATTCTTCATTGAATTTTATGTCTCTTCCTTTAATAGTCATTTTATAATTGTTATAATTTAATTCTTCAATATTCTTTTGTGTTCATTAAAATCAATATAACAAATTTTTTTTTAATTGCTTCATTTTCTCCAACTTGAATTTTTATGAAGACTTGTAATTCCTTAATTTTAACAAACTCATCTTACTCATTGTTGTCTTATATCTAATTTCCCGTTCATTTGTTTTAGACTCCTAGTATCGGATCTTTTTTTGAATTAAATCAATACTATTTAAAGAAAAAAACATGAATTAGTAGTCAATAAAACAAACAATGAACAGTAATAAATTAGTTACCCAAAATATCTTGAAACTATAATTAAGAAATTTTACATCATATTTGATCTTAAAAAATTTAGCAGTTGATTGGGGGCCAATTTTTTCTTTATTCAGTTTATATACAGTGCCCAGAAAAAAGTCAGTAACCAATTAAAAAATTAGCAATAAATTAACAAAGTTTACTATTAAGTAAACTTTTTTTTATACTAATAAAATTACTCTTTATGAAATAAGTAAAGCTGTGTATTATAATGAATTATATATATCCTGAAAATTTCGTATTAATTTGATCTATATTGAGTTATTTATTACAATTTTTGTCCATATATTTCAGTGTTTTTAACAAAATTTTTGGGTATAATTAATCATTAAATTTTTTGGTCTTGAAGTATTCTAATCGAATAACCAAACTTGTTGGTTATGTTAAAAAACATGGTGCTTTAAAATTTAAGATTAATCGGATTCATACTTACTAAGGTTTGCTTGATTTAATTACAAATTTTACAATCGATAATGTAATTAGGTACTGATTATCTTTGTTATTTTATAAAACTTGCACTTAAAATCTATAAATTTTTTTTAAATTTTGCTGACATTCTTTAATAAGAAGTTTGAAATGTACGGGGAAAATTGAGACATAAATTTACTTAATAAATGATCGACAAACAAGCTATAAATAAATAGAAATGATCTTCAATCACATGATTCATCACGAAATTTTGCATTTAAACAAAGCGAACTTAACGAATACAAATCCAGTCAACCTGAAATTTTAAGGACCCATGTTTTTTAACATGGGCAACAAATTTTCTTAATTAATCACAACCTATTAAGACTAAAAAATTTAACAGTTATTTATAGTTAAAAATTTATTATAAAAATACAAAATTTTCAAATAAAAATTGCACTATATAATTCATTTTGAATTTAATTAGCTTAAAAATTTTAGGATAAATATATTTCATTATGACGCACAATATTACTTAATCTATGAAAGGTGATTTATTTATTATGAAAAAAAGTTCACTTAGTGGCAAACTTCACTAACTAATTGCTAATTTTTTACGTGGTTACTGACTTTTTTCCGGGCACTGTACTAGTTAACTCGATTATATTGCAGTGTTCAATCTTAATACTTTTGGTAGGCTGATGTATAACCCGGTGGTTCTTCTAGGTAGATTGTTTGTATAGATCTCTATTTTTAGCATCAATTAGTAGATAATTTATGGCTTTGTTACATTTGATTATTTGAAGACAAAGGTTAAACAAGAATTTTATTGTCAATGTCATTTCCTTTCAAATTACCCGACCACAAAAAAAGAAAGAATCAAATAATTCACGCAATTCATGTGAAAATAATCTATCGGTAAAATAAGGAGATTATTTTATCTAAGATCGTAAACTCTCATTGCTATTTAAAGTAATTATACGTGTATTTTCGTTTCTTGATAAAGCAATTTAGGTTAGTTCGAATATTATTCAATATATAAAGACGATAAATCAATTATTTCTCCATTATTTTCATATTCTTTTTTTTTGTAAATTTTACTATTAACTAGACTAACCAAAAAAAAAAGAAAAAAATGTCGGATTATTCGGATATCCGCGTAGTGGTCGGTTTAGGTAAAATTGATATTTCTTTCAAGAGTAAATTGTTATATTTAACATTAAATAATTAACTTTTTACAGATTTCGGAACAACTTACTCGGTAATCTGAAATTTATTCGAGTTTACCAAACATATTTGTCAAAATTAAACAAAAAAAATCCTCCTTTTTATTATAAAAATTTTAGGGGTTTACATATTGTCACGTATCTGATGGTAATTTAGTTACTAATGATCAATGGCCAGGAGAGATTGGTCAATTAAAAACTAATACAGTACTTCAATATGACAAAAATTATATGAATGTTGAATCATGGGGATATTCAGCTTTATCGAAACGCCCAAATAAAAAAAAGAAAATTAAAAATGAATCAAAACCTGTTGAACTGTTTAAATTACATCTGGGAAATTTGTCAGAAAATCTCAAGCCGGGACTGCCAGTATATTATGAGAATGCTATTACCGATTATCTTCAAAAAATTGGAGAATTAATTGAGGAGATGGTTGCAATGCATTGGTCCGGAATTGATTTCTTAAAGAATGTACTCATTGTTATAACCGTTCCTGCAGAATATTCAGAAAAAGATAAAGCAATTATGAGAGAATGCGTATATAATGCTGGACTTATTAAAGAAAGGTATTCGAAAAATTTACAATTTACTACGGAACGTAAGTGAAAAAAATTTAAAGGAATATATTTATTTATATTTTAATTTATTTATTTATTTTTTATTTATTTATTTATTTTTATAGCTGAAGCTGCCGCGATTTATTGTATGGAAAATAATTTAAAAGTAAATGATCTCGATACTCCCGGAACTACTTTCATGATAGTCGATTGTGGTGGTGGTACAGTAGATTTAACTACGCGTAGATTATTGGAGGACAAACAACTGAGTGAAGTTACTGAACGAGCTGGAGACTTTTGTGGAAGTACATTTATTGATGAGGAATTCCTCAAAGCGTTACGCAAAATTCTTGGAGATCGTGCAATTAATTCATTAAGAGATAATCATTATGGACAAATGCAATATATGATTCAAGAATTCTGTCTTAATGTTAAATTACCATTCACCGGAGTTAAGTCCGAATTTAGTAATTATGAAATGGATATCGAAGATGTAGTTCCCGTTGTAATGCAATACGTAACTGAGGAAGTAGAAGAAAAGATGGAAGAAGCCGATTGGGTAATAGAATTTAGATACAAAGATATCAAATCAATGTTTGATCCTATTGTTGAAAGAATTATCACTATGATACAAACGCAGCTCGATAATAATCGGGAAACGTGTTCTGCAATGTTTCTGGTAGGAGGATTTAGTCAATCGAAATATTTGCAAAAAATAATTAAACAAAAATTTAAGCGTCAAGTAAAAAATATTTTAGTCCCTGTGCATCCCATTTCAGTAATATCACGTGGTGCAGCTTTATATGGATTGAGTATGATAAAGTCAGCACCCAATTTAGACAGAATGAATTCTCTTAAATTCGTAATAAATGAACGTAAATTAAAGTACACTTATGGAATTAGAGTCTGTCGTGAATGGAAAGAAGGAGATCCAATCAAAAGAAAACGTCCTAATGGACGTATTTATAAATTCCGTAGTTTGGCGCGAAGGGGAACCGTAGTAAAAGCCAATCAAGAATTTACTTTAAATATAACGCCAGAACATGCGGCTCAAGATACCATCACTTTTCACATATATTATACGACCAAATATAGTGCACAATATTGTGATGAAGATGATGAGATGAAGAAACTTGGAAATCTTATAATCTCTCTTCCTGATGTTCATCTTGGCAAAGATAGACATGTATTGTTTGGATTAATATTTGGGCGAATGGAAATGACTGCTACTGCTAAAAATAAACTTAATGGACAGAATTATCAAACTACTTTTGCATTAGATATATAAACTTTGCAGAATTTTTTATCTTATATTTTATAATCAATAAAGATAAAATTTTTCGGGACATGTCAAATAATATTTTTTTTTTATTTCTTATAATTATACTATTATTATAAAATGTTAAAATTAAATTTACAGTTAAACCTTTCAATTTATGTTTGATTCCGATTATGTGCTGCAGATTCGTATTTTTCATCATATTTATAAAACTATTTATTAGATACGCTGCTAGCATAACTTTGCTCTTGACATCATAAAATTTTAACACGAGTATATAATTTACTTTTGTAACGGGTCAATCATTTAGTAATAAATAAATCCGCGAATTATATTCGCGCTGGATTATTAATTATAGACAATTATTCATAGCATATTCAGTTATTTAAAAGCTTTACGAGTTTCAGAAAATTTATCTAATATTGAACATTAACCAATTGTTTTCATTACATTTCATTGATTGCGACGTTTGCGAATTTTACTTTGTAATATTAGTAAAACATGCATAAATTTGTATAGATCAATGTTGCAATTTTTTCCTTGTAATGATAAATCTCATTTTTTTTAATTAAACCAAATGTTTCTTGTCATAAAATTTCATACAACTTCCTTCAATGCGATATTTTGATATATATATATATATATATATATATATCAAGTTCTTTTTGAATTGTTCTAACATAATTTCGTGATCGTTGTAACTTTATAATTGCTGAATTTCCATTTATAATAATTCTTGACATAATGTTGTTCAGTATTTTTAAATTTTTATATTCGTTATAATCAATATAGTTTTTTGATAGATATCACAACGATATATCTTCTTTTCAATATCTTCAACTTAATTTCTATTAAAGGTTTATTTTTACATCCACTTTTGATTATACTAAATTTGTTACGATCATATAAAGTTGAATGTTATGACTTATGAGTGTATCATTGTCTAAGCAGCTCATAAGAGTTGATTCCAATTCAATATTCATCTATTTCATCATTGAACTCATCCTCATTGTTGTTTTTAATATGTAATATAAATACACTAAATAAGGCGCGATTCTTTCCAACTAAGGTGGAATACGAAATCATAATACTATTAAGATAAAAGTACATCCAATAAATCAGGCGAAGAATTAGAAATTATATACACAATTTAATAAAGTTCAGTGACACGATATAATAAATTGAGGATTTTTACTTGTTTAAGTTTATATGCTAGTTAATTCGGGTTATGTTACGTACTATTGAACGCTGGATACTTGATACTTAATATTTACGGTTGGAGGAATCGTTAACCCGAAAATAAGCACTGCGTAATGGCAGCCAAAATTGCTATAAATTCTGGTAAGAGATGCTTATTTCAGTGGTGCTTATATTCGGAACTTTACGGTATATCGAACATAACTATTTATAGGAATCATCTGTAGTATTTCATCATTTCTTTGTTTCTTAACATAGCTATTTAGGTTAGTTCGATGTTCATCGTTGTTCAAAAATATAAAACAATATTTCTTTATTCAGTTCCTATAAATAACCTAAAAATTCATATTGCAACAAAATAACTCTTTCTCTTTAGACAAACCAAAAAAAATAAAATAAAAAAAAATGTCGTCGGATTATTCTGATATCCGTGTTGTGGTCGGTTTAGGTAAAATATATATATATTTTTTTTCTTTTATGAGTATTTAATGAACTTATTATATTATACATTTAACATAATAATTGACTTTTTTCTCTCTCAGATTTTGGAACAACTTACTCGGTATGTTTTAAATTTTATTACATTCATGTTTAAATAGAAGATTTATCAGAATTAACTCCTAAATTTTTATAGGGGTTTACATATTGTCATATATCTGATGGAAAGAATAATCTTGTCACTAACGATCAATGGCCTGGCGATATTGGTCAATTAAAAACAAATACGGCACTTCAATATGACGAAAATTATGTTAAGATTGAATCATGGGGAATTTCAGCACTGTCGAAACGCCAAAAAAAAAAGAAAGAAAATAAAAATAGGCCTGCTGAATTATTTAAATTACATCTAGGGAAACTTGCAGAAAATCTCAGACCAGAACTACCAGTAGATTTTAAGAAGGCCATTACTGATTATCTTAAAGAAATTGGAAAGTCGATTAAGGTTGAAATTAAGTCTGCTTGGCATGGAATTGATTTCTTTGAGAATGTATTTGTTATTATAACCGTACCTGCGGAATATTTAGAGAAGGATAAAGAAATCATGAGAGAATGTGCATATAAAGCCGGACTTATTAAAGAAAAGGAATCGAAAAATTTACAATTTACCACAGAACGTAAGTAAAAAAAAGATGATCGTATTATAACAAAATTTTTATTTATTTTATTTATTTATTCTATCTATCGATCTATCTATCTATCTACCTATCTATCTATTTATTTATTTATCTATTTATTTATTTTATATATAGCCGAAGCTGCTGCAATTTATTGTATGGAAAATAATTTGAAAACATACGGTCTTAATATTCCTGGAACTACTTTCATGATAGTCGACTGTGGAGGCGGTACAGTAGATTTGACTACACGAAAAGTATTAAAGGACGGACAACTGGGTGAAGTTACTGAACGAGCTGGAGATTATTGTGGAAGTACATTTGTTGATAGGGAATTTATTAAAGTTCTACGTAAGATTCTCGGAGATGACGCAATTGATTTATTAAGAGACAAACACTACGGACAAATGCAATATATGGTTCAGGAATTCTGTCGTGATGCTAAAATGCCGTTCACCGGAGAAGAGTCCGAGTTTAAGAGTTATGAAATGGATATTGAAGAGGTAGTTCCTGTTATAATGAAATGCGTGACAGATGAAGTAAGAGAGAAGATGGAAGATAAAGATTGGGTAATAGAATTTAAATACAATGATATCAAATCATTGTTTGATCCTGTTGTTAACAGAATCATCAAGCTTATACAAATCCAGCTTGATAATACTAAAGATGAATGTTCTGCAATGTTTCTGGTGGGAGGATTTAGTCAATCAAAATATTTACAAAAAAGAATTAAAGAAAAATTTCAGCAACGAATTGAGAATATTTCAACTCCTACACTTCCTATTGCAGCAATATCACGCGGCGCAACTTTATATGGATTGAGTATGAAAAATTCAGAACCTAGTTCGGACAATAAAGATCCTCCTAAATTTGTAATAAATGAACGTGTATTGAAATATACTTATGGAATTAGAATAAGTCCTAAATGGAAAGAAGGAGATCCAATCGAAAGAAAACGTTCTAACGGACGAATTCGTAAATTTCGTTGTATGGCGCGAAGAGGAACTAAAGTAAAAGTTAATCAAGAATTTACTATATTGCAGTTGCCAGCATTCCCAGATCAAGATTCTATCAAGTTTGTTATATATTATACGACCGAATATGATGCAAAATACTGTGATGAAGATGGGATGGAAAAACTTGGAAGTCTCTCAATTTCTCTTCCTGATGTTCAGCTTGGAATTGATAGACCTATAGAGTTTGGATTAACATTTGGACGAATGGAAATAACTGCTACTGCTAAAAATAATCGTAATGGACAAAATTACCAAGCTACTTTAACGTTAGATATATAACTTTTTTTTTTATTTGATTTTAAATTAAAGTTATAATAAATGTATCATTATTTGTATTTTAATTATATATGTTTAAAATGTTACAATTTAATTATCATCGTCTTCGTGAGAAGATTATTTTATTTAAAGTTTGTTAGCATATAATCATGTGCTTCCTGCTGACACACAATTTTCACCATAATTACCATAATTGCTCCTTTTTTTAAACTAATTGCTAGCTTGCTTTTGATCTGAAAATCTTTATAGTATTTGGACGGATCGTGAAATTTAAAACAAATTTACAAATCAACAACTTTTTTAATTCAGGTGATAAAACATTTGTCTCTTGAACACATGATATTGATTTGAACATATTTAAAACCATGTTATATGGTTTGATTGTTTAAACAAAGGATCATGCATGGTTGTCGAATTTTTATTCAGTTCGAGGTTAGTATGCTATAATCTAGAAGTGTTTTTTGTATTTATAATTTATTATAATATATTAATTACTTTTGACAGATTAAATGTCATGTGATGGTGCATATGATCTTGTGATCGTTGACTGCTTTGCATCAAAGGCAATGTAACGTTCACTCTCTTGATTTATTTATACAGTCTATAGTAATTAATAATTTGTAATGTCAGATTAATTTATTTAAAGCTTCATGTGAGAATGAAAAAAGAATAAATAACTGAAACAGAATCAGGAATCATCATAAAACGAGAAATTAGCAATTAACTATCACAAGATACAAAATTAAATATACGACGTGAAAGTTTCTTTGCTCGTATTTTGATGGGAACCTTTGGGTTGGGTTAGAACATCAGTATAAATTGACTAAAAGTAGTATTTTTTAGACAAACAAACAAAAAAAAGTGAATAAGAATTTATTAATTTATTAAAAAGAGAAAAAGAGAATAGGATCTCATTTTTATTTCAAAAGTTAAAACTTATTTTATAATATCGTTCTCGTGAGAAAAAAAAATAAAGAAAGTGACACTGAAAATAATCTTAAAAAAAATTTGGGTTTATATATAACAATGGAAATACTCGCTAGAATAATTTCAATTTTAAAAAGTAACAAATAAGATAGAATAAAGAATAAGTACGTCTTTTAATTTATAAATCTAATCATTTTCTATTGGGGAGTTTCAACCGTATTTGTTGTATTTGTTCCTATATCTTCCTCGTCATTTTCTTGACCCGTCTCATATTCACCAGAATCGTCTGATGCGGTGGCATTGGCGGTATTTTGTACGGTAAAATCATTATTTGGTTGCTCGGCTTGATCTGAATTATCTGAATTATTGCTTAAAAGGCCTGTTATACCTTTGAACAAGGACCCAACATTTTGTATAAGACTCGGACTCGGTTGAGGAACACGACGAGTGAAAACTTTTGCAGATGTAAAAACTTCTTGATTTGAATTAATGACTTGATAAATAAGTGGAAAAGTACATAATTCAACGACTAACTCGTCAATCTCATCTTCATCCCAATTTGTATCCATGGAAGTTTTACTAACTTTATCGCCACAATTAAACCAATGATATTGAGCTATTGGTTCCTGTATTTTTAAACGAAAATAAAAAATTCTAAAAACTTCCTGAATAAGAATTTTTGACAACCTATCGGCACTCTCTTTCTTTTTGGGATTTGTTATAACGCGATATTGATCCATTGACTTGTTAAGATTTTCTGAGAATTTTTCAGTAATAAAGTTGTTTACACATATGTTATCTGATTTATCTGATTCTTTTATGTCCCCGAGACCTCTCATTCCAAGAGCGGTATATATTAGTTGACGTAACTTTATAGGTGTAACTTTTGTTATTTCATCAGTTCCACCACGAGTAGAGGAGAACTTTTCCATCAGTCCATATAATTCATCTGTTTTTTTTACGACAACTGATTCGAGATAATTATCCCCCTCATTATTAGAAAAAAAATCTCTTGCAAACTCAAAAATTGTTTCTAGCACGTGACGTCGCAATATAGCTTTAATAAATTGTTTATCCACGTTATACGGATCGATCTTGATTTGACATCCATAACGTGGTAAAAGTTTTTTAATTTCATCAATTTTAATATTCACATTTAATTTTCCTAAATTTGTTACATAGTCATCAATCTTGTCTTGTAATGACAAGACATCGTCGTGAAGTTGAACGTTATGATTTATATCATCGTCACTAATGTTGATATTTGTTGCAACTCCAAGTGCTGATTGATAATTTGAAGCTTCATTTTCTAGTTCGCTATTCCTTTGTATCAATGATTGAACTTCTGATGATTTTTCCCTCAATCGTTGTTTGAATTTCGTATAAACATCTTCGATCTTCTTTTTACTGTCTTGAAGTTCTATAATCATAGCTCCCTGTTTAATTATTGTTTGCTTTTGTTCAATTGTCTTTTGTTGAGAATTTTCTAATTCTGTTTTAAGTTTTAGGATTTCATCTTCAAGATGTTTATTCTTTTCAGTAGTTTCTTGTATATCACTTTTAATTTCAGTATCCACGTTATCAAATTCATTCGAAGTCAGAACATTATTTTGTTGATTTGTTGACGAGATAGAATTATTGGAATTATTGTCATTACTTTCCGATAATTGATGATCTGAATGCTGATTCGAAGAACCATCGACATCTATAGAAGTGAGAGAACTATTATTATTATTATTTGATGTTATATTTGTCGTCATTTTTTCTTCCTTTTTTTTTAAAAAAAAAAAAAAAATATAGGTTTATAAAAATACGATCTGATAAAATCAAAGGGGTATAACTATTTTAGGGTAAATAATTATAGGGATACTATCTCCGACATACCCTGAAAGGGTGTAAATAACAAAATATAAATAAACATAATGCACATCAAAATCAGATGGCAGCTGATTACAGTAATTAGAAATGGTGCATAAGATGCACGAGATTATTATTATTATATCAGATAAACCTTTAATATTCCCTTATTTTAATTAGTTTCTTGTTTTATCAACGTATTAAGTTTATATGTGATATGTGATATATCGGTTACGCGTAGTTTTGTTAACATAATCTTATGTAGGATTTCCCAGATTGGTTTTTCTAAAATTCAAAACCAAATAATCAATCAAATCAATCCTTTTTTTTTTTTTAAAAAAAAAAAAATTCTCCTTTAAATTTTTAAATTTCTGTTTTTCTCATTTATAACAAAATATTCTTTATAAATATTTGATATAAAATCCCTTTGCCCTTATTATTACAAATTTATTTAACGAAAATAAACATTGAATTTTTTTTTGTCCATAATGTCAGAAATTCGCGTAGTTGTTGCTATAGGTTCGTTTTTTTAAAAGAATTTTTGAAAAAATTTAAATAACGATAGTGAATAACGATAGTCTAATAACAATTTTTCCCTTCACTTTATACAAGACTTCGGAACAACGTATTCTGTAAGTTACTAATATCGTTCATATGAAATGTTGAAATGTTGAACAGGAAAACTATCATATATCTGACTTTTTTATATTAATTACATACTTTTTAATCGATATAGGGATTTGCTTACGCTCATAGATCAAATCCGAATGAAATAACGGCATATTGTAATTGGCAAGACTACAATGCACGTTTTAAAACTTTTACTGTTTTAAAATATGATGAATCACTCAAATTAATATCATGGGGATACCCTGCATTAGCAGAAAAACCAAACAGAAGGAAAAAACCTTCCAATATAAAACCCGTAGAAAGATTCAAGTTACATTTAGGTGACATGGAAAACAAACCATATTTACCGGAAGGATTCGATTTTAAGACTGCCATAACAGATTATCTTCGAGAAATGGGTATTGTCATAAAAGAAACCATAAAAACTAAATGGCAAAAAATTGACTTTTTTAGACAAGTATTAATTGTTATGACGGTATATATATGTTCATATTTGTTATTGTGATTTTTTTTAAATAGAACTTTTTTATTAAAACTTACTATAATTTATAAAGATTCCAGCCGAATTCGATAGTCAAGCCATGAAGATTATGCGCAAATGCGCTTACGATGCTGGAATTATAAATGAGGGCAGTGAAAATCTAGAATTTACGACGGAACGTAAGTTTAATCTCAAAGAAAATGATAATCACGTGACTAAATTTAATCATCTTTGAACATTATCAGCTGAAGCAGCAGCGGTTTACTGTATGAAGAAAAAGGAATATCATATTGGCGTTGGATGTAAGAAAAAGTATATTTATATGTTTTAATTTAAATTTACACATTAAATAAATAGTTTGTTATTCATAGCATCGTTTATGATCGTCGACTGCGGTGGCGGCACGGTAGATTTAACGACACGTAAGCTTTTGGAAGGTGATAAACTGGAAGAAGTTACTGAACGTGAAGGGGATTTCTGTGGTGGAAGCTTTGTAGACGACGAATTTCTTAAATTTATTGGTGAAAAAGTTGGAGAATCAGCTCTTAAATTAGTCAGGAAAAACCATTATAGCCAATTACAATATATGGTACAGGATTTTTGTAGACGCGTCAAAATTCAATTTACCGGACAAGAATCACATGCCCAAACTCACGAATTCGATTTAAGTAGTAACGTATCTTTTTTTATTTGTATAAAGATTTTTATCGAAAAATTGGTATAATAGTGTTAAATTTATTTTGTTAAAAATAGAATTGTGTCCTGTTTTAAAACAATGCGTTAAAGGAGAAAAATATGACGAAATGGAAGAAATGGAATGGATAGTTGAATTAACGTTTGATGACGTTAAATTAATGTTTAATCCTGTCATAGAAAGGATTATATCTTTAATTCATAAACAACTTGATAAATCTCATGAAAATGGTTACGATATTTGTGCTATGTTCTTAGTTGGTGGTTTCAGCGAATCAAAATATTTGCAGGCAAGAATTAAAAAAGAATTTGGGGATAAAGTACCAAATATATCCGTTCCTATACAACCTGTCACCGCAGTTGTAAGAGGAGGTAAAGTATAAAAGTTTCGAACAAAAGTTGATGGTGTTTACACTGCTTATACTAAAGATTCTTTTCACAAATTTAGCCGTTCAATTTGGATTGGAAAAGGAAATTATAAAAACTCGTGTATTAAAGTGGACATATGGTAAATTTTATTCTTTACAAATAAATTGATGAGTATATACTCTTTTAATATTAACAATAATTTTAAATATTTATAAGGAACCGACGTTGCAAAAAAATAGGAACAAGGAGATCCGATTAAACGAAAACGTTCAGATGGAAGGGTTCTTAAATTTAGTAGATTAGCAAAACGTGGTGACCAAGTGGCTGTTAATGAGAAAATTGTAAAAACTTATTACCCACATAATAAAGTAAAAAAAAAACTGGGATTAGAAATATATGTTACAAGAAAAGATAATGCAACATATTGTGATGAACCAGGTGTTGAATTACTTGATAGTTGGTGCGTTGATATACCCAATGCATCAAAGGAAAATAGGGCCTTCGAATTCACTTTGACTTTTGGAAAGGTTGAAATTGAAGCTATTGCTCAGGCCAAAACTGGTGAAAAGTATGAAAATACTTTTGATTTAGATATGTAGAGAATTTCATCATCGTAATGTATTAAATTTTATTTTGTATTACGTATATTTAATTAACATGTAAATCATATGTTACACGAAAATTAAAAAAGCGCTGCAAAATGGTACCATTAACTAACAAAAAGAAATTCTGTGTAATTGATTGATTGACAAATGTTAAATTATAATAACCGAAATATAAAAATTTCTGTGTAATGAACACTGTGTTGTTTTAAGAAAGAGATTTGGGGATTTGCCGGTGTCAGGGATAAATTTAAGAAAGAAGCAATGCAATCCGTCTAATTCTCAAAATTGATAATAAACAGATTAAAGAAAGTGGTTATGATAATCAATAAGTTTTAAGAACAAAAACGCAATAAAAAACTAATAATGAGTTAGATTAATTACGCAAAGAAAACTTGAAGATATAGTAAATGAATCAACTTCATTTTAATTTTTTTTGGAAGTGTTTTCAAGGCTAAAAATATGAAAAAATGGATTTTTTTCATATTTATTATGCATGTATTATTTGTATCACGTATCATAGTATAAATAATTATTTTAAAATTAATATTTGGTGTCCATTAATTGACAAAAAAAGAAAATTTGTGTAATTGTTGTAAACCTATTGAGTGAAAAAGTCACGTTATTAATGGTAAAATATGTATAAATAAACTCCGAAAATATAGTTTTTTGTGAAAAAAATTAAAAAATTTTCCTTTACTTTTTTCTCTCTACCATGAGTGAAAATCAAGGGGAAAAAAAACAAAAGTTTACGAAAAAGTTTACGAAAAAGTTTAAAAATAGTTATATAAAAGTTAAAGAAATGATTAAAAGGAAACGTAATATACCAAATGAAAATATTCAACAACATGGCAACAATGAAATTAAGGAAGAGGAAACAGATACGAGTTCAAACTTACAACAAAATCAACCTGTAGAAGGAAATAGAGAAATAAAACATAAAAATGAGAGCATTGATGAAGAACCTGAAAAAAAGAGACCCAGGAAAGAGAAAGAGATTGAACATGATGATGATTCTAGTTCACCCATAGAACCCATAAACAACGACGAGAGCATAGAAATGAAACAGCGTATAAAACAACTCGAGGAAGAATTAAGCGAACAACAAAAACATAAAATTGAACTAGAAAAATTAAAGCAATCTCACAAAAAACTTGAAGAAGAAAAAGTAATTCTTGTGAGTTCAATTGAAAGTTATAAGGCAAATTATGAGACAACTGCTAATAATATTGATTCTTTACAAAAACAATTGGAAGAGAAGGATACTGAATTGAAAGGAAAGGAAGATGAGTTTATTAAGTTAGAAGAAAAAAATGCCGAACTTAGAAAAGAAGCATCCAAATATCAGTCAGCACTTGGTAACGCAACAAATACTCGTCTTGGTGATGAAGATTCCGTTAAATTTCGAGACGATATCTTAAGTATACAGAAGACATTGGAAAATTATGTAACTAATTTGAAACCTAATATGGATATTGATTATGAAAAAGTACAAGTCCTTGCGCAAAAATATGGTTGTTCAACACCAGTAGATAAAGGTCATAAACCCTTTATCAAAGCACTTTTACAACGCAAAGCATTAGATGATATATTGGAACTTTCTAAGGATTCTAAGGATTCTGCTAATAAAGGTGAAGATGTTAAACTTGAATTGGATATTGAAAATAAGACACAAGAATTGTTAGAATTGATTGAAAATTTCTCAGCAAGTCGTTCTGGAACCGATGAAATCGCTAAAGTAGCATCGATAAAAGTACGTCAGCAGGTTTATGGAATTCTTGGTAACCGTGGGTTTGCTGATGTCACCGATTCCAAAGGAAGTCATATACATGACTTTATAATTTACGTCATTGATAATCTTAATAATACGATGAATCAGTATCGTAAAATTAATGATCCTGCTAAGAAAAATGACACAGAATCAATAGCACCGAAGCTTATCCAAGATATCTACAAATTATTTTTTTATCTTGTAAATGTCCAAGAACCTAGAGTTGAATATAAATTTTGTGAAATTGGTTCTAAAATTGATCCTAATGTTATGAAAGGAAATTGGGATGAGGATGATGTTCCTCAATTATGTGTAGATATTTGTAGTTTTCCAATGATTGGGCGTGATTTGGATTCCCCAAATTGGAAAATATACACACATGCAAAGGTATTTCCGCACGATCCTAGTAAAACAAGTTAAGAGATTTTCGTGATCCCATATACATATACACATATACATATAGTGTAGTGACAAATAGTGATACAGTAAATATAATATATTTTTGTATTTTTATAAAACAGAACTTTTATTTTAATATATAAATCTTGTCATAATAATAAAGAAATTAATGAACCAATTTATATAAACTAGGTAATTGTGTGTATAATAGTCATCAGTTTTCTGTATTTATCTCAAAGTACGTATGATAATTTTGACCGGTTAAATCATTTGTTGCGGTTGCGGTAATTTCCATTTCGCAAAATGATAACTTAAAGGTAACAGATCTATCAAACCCCAAGTGAGCGTCATCCCAATAAAACTTAAGTTTACCGAGTAATTTCATTCCAGATTCATTACTAAATTCTGCATCATATTCACGTGTGTAATAGATATCAAATTCTCCAACAGTTTGAAATGGATTACCGGGTCTTACAGTAAGCCCCTCAGTTGTAGGAAAAACATCATCAATTTTGGCTACGGTCCCTCTCTTTGCGATAATATTAAAATAAAGCGTTGAAGGTCCTAAAAAACTAAAACCTACTCTTTCTTTTGGATCTCCGGGACTATAAGGTCTTAGGACATCAACCCCATAAGTGTTTTTCAATACACGTGAACCTATAACACTTTTTGAGCCTTTTTTAATACTTGGATCCTCACCGCTGAAGAGACTTAGCCCATACATTGCTGCACCACGGGAAATAGTAGCGGTCGGACTTTGAGGAACAGAAATATTATCAACATGATCTTGAAATGCATCTTTAATTCTTTTTTGTAAATATTTTGATTCACTAAAACCACCAACCAAAAACATTATAGAGGGTTTTGAACCTTTTTCACGAGAATTATCAAGTTGTATACTTATCATCTTAATAATTTTTTCAACGATAGGATCAAACATTGATTTGATCGTTTCATAATCGAGTTTAATCACATTTTCATCTTTTTCCAATCTTTCTTTCACATCATCGTTCAAGTAGTTTTTTAATAAAACGGGAATTTCCTCAAGATCCATTTCATAATTAAAATTCGTTTCATCTCCTGTAAATGGCAATTTCGCGTTTTCACAAAATTCTTGAACCATAAACTGTAGTTGCCCATATTGTTCTTTTTCAAATAAATCCATGGTCTCTTTTCCAAGCTTATGTTGTAAGTAATTTTTAAACTCCTTATCAATAAAAGTACTTCCACAATAATCTCCTGTTCTTTCGGTAACTTCACCCAATTGTTTTCTATTCAATAATTTTCGCGTCGTCAAATCTACTGTGCCGCCACCACAGTCGACGATCATAAAAGTTGCTAAGAAGCGAGACTCAGTTAATTTACATAATACGGGTAAAAAAAAGGTGAAAATTATTTAAGAATACGTACTTCCACTATCAGTCAAATCATGTTCTTTGAGATTATTTTCCATACAATAAATTGCTGCAGCCTCAGCTATGAAATTAAAAGAAATTCAAATAAATCAATAAATCAAGGAATGTCATTTTTCATTATATATCAGATATCAAATTATAGATGATACTTACGTTCCGTAGTAAATTGTAACCTTTCAGAATACAAATCATCAATTAATTTAGCATCGTTCATACATTCCCTCATTATACGTATCGCCTTATCATCATATTCAGCAGGGACAGTAAGGATAAAAAGAACATTTTCTAGTTTCATTCCATCCCATCTAGAATCAATAGTTTCCCCGACACACTTTTTTTTTTTAAAAAAAAGAAAGAAAGAGAATATTAATCTGAGAGCCACCGAATGCAAATATATAAATCTTTTGCACTTACTTTCCCAATTTCGCGAAGATAATCAGTAATTGCTATTTTATAATCTACAGAAAGTTCAATTCTAAGTTTTGGTGATAAGTTACCTAAATGCAATTTAAATAATTCCACTACATTTTTTCGTTTATTTATTTCATTGTTTCGGCTCGGACGTTTAGTCAATGCAGGATAGCCCCATAATACGACTTTATCTAAATCATCATCATACTCTAATACAGTATTAGTTTTAAATTGACCCTTTAAAGTAAATGAAAAAAAAAAATTATTATTTTTTTGATACGTGGAAAGTAAAAAATAATGTAGTGAAAAAAAATAAACCAATTGTCCAGGCCAAGTTTCATTTGTACTCATTTGTTTGTCCTCGACATGACAATAAGTGAATCCCTAATAATTTTCAATTAAATATTATTAATAATTAGAAATTATAAAAAATGTTACAATATAAATTTACCGAAAAAGTGGTTCCAAAATCTTTGAAAAAAGTATATTAAAATTCAGTTAATTTAATTTTATTTATAACAATTATTTATCTCTTATATCATACCTAAACCAACCACTACGCGAACATTTTCAAATTTTTTCGACATTTTCGACATTTTCAAAGAGCTCGTTAATAATTAGTAATAACGTTGACGTGTACCAAATCTTAAACTTTACTTTCAAATAAAAATTGTCGGTCAAAACCAGAAGTTTTAGATAACAAAAATCACAAAAATTTTGTTTATTATTTATACGAAATCTAAATAATAACAAAATAGGATGCGTAAATCACATCAGTAAGCAGCAACAAGTTAACTATATAAAAATATATATATGGAATACAATACAACTTTTTGTTTTTGTCATATGCAAAGAAATTTATATCACACTTTGGAAAATAGGGATGTTCTAAGCGGGGTTTGGGACTTGGGCAGGAACTTTTTGCAAAATTTAGGGACACTATATTTTTTTACTTTACTTTTTATATGTGCAACGTTAATGTGTATCACTGATATCAAACCTTTGTTTTGTTACTTATCTTAAAAATGGGGGACAAAATCAGTTTAATATTACCATATTTGAAAACAATTAATTGACATATAACTAATCCTGATACATTAAATATGCACACAATATTTTTTTCTATACGCAAAATATGTCAAGAGACCTTTTTTAATACATTTCTCGCTTTTGTTACCAAATTTGGGTCTTTCAAATTTCCTTTTTTAAGTAAATGACTTGTTATCAATAAACATGTCATTTAACCAAATATTGTAAAGGATGTTCCTTTAGAAGTTTCTTATTACCTAATTCATTAATTCATTGATATTTTCTCATCTAAATTTTCACAAGATATTTGCGTTATCATTTTTATCTGTAATCAACTAATAAAAGATTTGATATTTTGGAAAATAATTGTGCCCAGTTCTGAAAAAAAAAGGGACGAAAAAAATTTTTTTTCTTTAATGAATTGATCCCCTTTCTCTCTAATTCACTTATCACCTTATACCATTTTGATGTAATATTTTTTTTTTTTTTTTGTATNATTTGGATTGGAAAAGGAAATTATAAAAACTCGTGTATTAAAGTGGACATATGGTAAATTTTATTCTTTACAACTAAATTGATGAGTATATACTCTTTTAATATTAACAATAATTTTAAATATTTATAAGGAACCGACGTTGCAAAAAAATGGGGACAAGGAGATCCGATTAAACGAAAACGTTCAGATGGAAGGGTTCTTAAATTTAGTAGATTAGCAAAACGTGGTGACCAAGTGGCTGTTAATGAGAAAATTGTAAAAACTTATTACCCACCTAATACAGTACAAAAGAAACTGGGATTAGACATATATGTTACAAGAAAAGATAATGCAACATATTGTGATGAACCAGGTGTTGAATTACTTGATAGTTGGTGCGTTGATATACCCAATGCATCAAAGGAAAATAGGGCCTTCGAATTCACTTTGACTTTTGGAAAGGTTGAAATTGAAGCTATTGCTCAGGCCAAAACTGGTGAAAAGTATGAAAATACTTTTGATTTAGATATGTAGAGAATTTCATCATCGTAATGTATTAAATTTTATTTTGTATTACGTATATTTAATTAACATGTAAATCATATGTTACACGAAAATTAAAAAAGCGCTGCAAAATGGTACCATTAACTAACAAAAAGAAATTCTGTGTAATTGATTGATTGACAAATGTTAAATTATAATAACCGAAATATAAAAATTTCTGTGTAATGAACACTGTGTTGTTTTAAGAAAGAGATTTGGGGATTTGCCGGTGTCAGGGATAAATTTAAGAAAGAAGCAATGCAATCCGTCTAATTCTCAAAATTGATAATAAACAGATTAAAGAAAGTGGTTATGATAATCAATAAGTTTTAAGAACAAAAACGCAATAAAAAACTAATAATGAGTTAGATTAATTACGCAAAGAAAACTTGAAGATATAGTAAATGAATCAACTTCATTTTAATTTTTTTTGGAAGTGTTTTCAAGGCTAAAAATATGAAAAAATGGATTTTTTTCATATTTATTATGCATGTATTATTTGTATCACGTATCATAGTATAAATAATTATTTTAAAATTAATATTTGGTGTCCATTAATTGACAAAAAAAGAAAATTTGTGTAATTGTTGTAAACCTATTGAGTGAAAAAGTCACGTTATTAATGGTAAAATATGTATAAATAAACTCCGAAAATATAGTTTTTTGTGAAAAAAATTAAAAAATTTTCCTTTACTTTTTTCTCTCTACCATGAGTGAAAATCAAGGGGAAAAAAAACAAAAGTTTACGAAAAAGTTTACGAAAAAGTTTAAAAATAGTTATATAAAAGTTAAAGAAATGATTAAAAGGAAACGTAATATACCAAATGAAAATATTCAACAACATGGCAACAATGAAATTAAGGAAGAGGAAACAGATACGAGTTCAAACTTACAACAAAATCAACCTGTAGAAGGAAATAGAGAAATAAAACATAAAAATGAGAGCATTGATGAAGAACCTGAAAAAAAGAGACCCAGGAAAGAGAAAGAGATTGAACATGATGATGATTCTAGTTCACCCATAGAACCCATAAACAACGACGAGAGCATAGAAATGAAACAGCGTATAAAACAACTCGAGGAAGAATTAAGCGAACAACAAAAACATAAAATTGAACTAGAAAAATTAAAGCAATCTCACAAAAAACTTGAAGAAGAAAAAGTAATTCTTGTGAGTTCAATTGAAAGTTATAAGGCAAATTATGAGACAACTGCTAATAATATTGATTCTTTACAAAAACAATTGGAAGAGAAGGATACTGAATTGAAAGGAAAGGAAGATGAGTTTATTAAGTTAGAAGAAAAAAATGCCGAACTTAGAAAAGAAGCATCCAAATATCAGTCAGCACTTGGTAACGCAACAAATACTCGTCTTGGTGATGAAGATTCCGTTAAATTTCGAGACGATATCTTAAGTATACAGAAGACATTGGAAAATTATGTAACTAATTTGAAACCTAATATGGATATTGATTATGAAAAAGTACAAGTCCTTGCGCAAAAATATGGTTGTTCAACACCAGTAGATAAAGGTCATAAACCCTTTATCAAAGCACTTTTACAACGCAAAGCATTAGATGATATATTGGAACTTTCTAAGGATTCTAAGGATTCTGCTAATAAAGGTGAAGATGTTAAACTTGAATTGGATATTGAAAATAAGACACAAGAATTGTTAGAATTGATTGAAAATTTCTCAGCAAGTCGTTCTGGAACCGATGAAATCGCTAAAGTAGCATCGATAAAAGTACGTCAGCAGGTTTATGGAATTCTTGGTAACCGTGGGTTTGCTGATGTCACCGATTCCAAAGGAAGTCATATACATGACTTTATAATTTACGTCATTGATAATCTTAATAATACGATGAATCAGTATCGTAAAATTAATGATCCTGCTAAGAAAAATGACACAGAATCAATAGCACCGAAGCTTATCCAAGATATCTACAAATTATTTTTTTATCTTGTAAATGTCCAAGAACCTAGAGTTGAATATAAATTTTGTGAAATTGGTTCTAAAATTGATCCTAATGTTATGAAAGGAAATTGGGATGAGGATGATGTTCCTCAATTATGTGTAGATATTTGTAGTTTTCCAATGATTGGGCGTGATTTGGATTCCCCAAATTGGAAAATATACACACATGCAAAGGTATTTCCGCACGATCCTAGTAAAACAAGTTAAGAGATTTTCGTGATCCCATATACATATACACATATACATATAGTGTAGTGACAAATAGTGATACAGTAAATATAATATATTTTTGTATTTTTATAAAACAGAACTTTTATTTTAATATATAAATCTTGTCATAATAATAAAGAAATTAATGAACCAATTTATATAAACTAGGTAATTGTGTGTATAATAGTCATCAGTTTTCTGTATTTATCTCAAAGTACGTATGATAATTTTGACCGGTTAAATCATTTGTTGCGGTTGCGGTAATTTCCATTTCGCAAAATGATAACTTAAAGGTAACAGATCTATCAAACCCCAAGTGAGCGTCATCCCAATAAAACTTAAGTTTACCGAGTAATTTCATTCCAGATTCATTACTAAATTCTGCATCATATTCACGTGTGTAATAGATATCAAATTCTCCAACAGTTTGAAATGGATTACCGGGTCTTACAGTAAGCCCCTCAGTTGTAGGAAAAACATCATCAATTTTGGCTACGGTCCCTCTCTTTGCGATAATATTAAAATAAAGCGTTGAAGGTCCTAAAAAACTAAAACCTACTCTTTCTTTTGGATCTCCGGGACTATAAGGTCTTAGGACATCAACCCCATAAGTGTTTTTCAATACACGTGAACCTATAACACTTTTTGAGCCTTTTTTAATACTTGGATCCTCACCGCTGAAGAGACTTAGCCCATACATTGCTGCACCACGGGAAATAGTAGCGGTCGGACTTTGAGGAACAGAAATATTATCAACATGATCTTGAAATGCATCTTTAATTCTTTTTTGTAAATATTTTGATTCACTAAAACCACCAACCAAAAACATTATAGAGGGTTTTGAACCTTTTTCACGAGAATTATCAAGTTGTATACTTATCATCTTAATAATTTTTTCAACGATAGGATCAAACATTGATTTGATCGTTTCATAATCGAGTTTAATCACATTTTCATCTTTTTCCAATCTTTCTTTCACATCATCGTTCAAGTAGTTTTTTAATAAAACGGGAATTTCCTCAAGATCCATTTCATAATTAAAATTCGTTTCATCTCCTGTAAATGGCAATTTCGCGTTTTCACAAAATTCTTGAACCATAAACTGTAGTTGCCCATATTGTTCTTTTTCAAATAAATCCATGGTCTCTTTTCCAAGCTTATGTTGTAAGTAATTTTTAAACTCCTTATCAATAAAAGTACTTCCACAATAATCTCCTGTTCTTTCGGTAACTTCACCCAATTGTTTTCTATTCAATAATTTTCGCGTCGTCAAATCTACTGTGCCGCCACCACAGTCGACGATCATAAAAGTTGCTAAGAAGCGAGACTCAGTTAATTTACATAATACGGGTAAAAAAAAGGTGAAAATTATTTAAGAATACGTACTTCCACTATCAGTCAAATCATGTTCTTTGAGATTATTTTCCATACAATAAATTGCTGCAGCCTCAGCTATGAAATTAAAAGAAATTCAAATAAATCAATAAATCAAGGAATGTCATTTTTCATTATATATCAGATATCAAATTATAGATGATACTTACGTTCCGTAGTAAATTGTAACCTTTCAGAATACAAATCATCAATTAATTTAGCATCGTTCATACATTCCCTCATTATACGTATCGCCTTATCATCATATTCAGCAGGGACAGTAAGGATAAAAAGAACATTTTCTAGTTTCATTCCATCCCATCTAGAATCAATAGTTTCCCCGACACACTTTTTTTTTTTAAAAAAAAGAAAGAAAGAGAATATTAATCTGAGAGCCACCGAATGCAAATATATAAATCTTTTGCACTTACTTTCCCAATTTCGCGAAGATAATCAGTAATTGCTATTTTATAATCTACAGAAAGTTCAATTCTAAGTTTTGGTGATAAGTTACCTAAATGCAATTTAAATAATTCCACTACATTTTTTCGTTTATTTATTTCATTGTTTCGGCTCGGACGTTTAGTCAATGCAGGATAGCCCCATAATACGACTTTATCTAAATCATCATCATACTCTAATACAGTATTAGTTTTAAATTGACCCTTTAAAGTAAATGAAAAAAAAAAATTATTATTTTTTTGATACGTGGAAAGTAAAAAATAATGTAGTGAAAAAAAATAAACCAATTGTCCAGGCCAAGTTTCATTTGTACTCATTTGTTTGTCCTCGACATGACAATAAGTGAATCCCTAATAATTTTCAATTAAATATTATTAATAATTAGAAATTATAAAAAATGTTACAATATAAATTTACCGAAAAAGTGGTTCCAAAATCTTTGAAAAAAGTATATTAAAATTCAGTTAATTTAATTTTATTTATAACAATTATTTATCTCTTATATCATACCTAAACCAACCACTACGCGAACATTTTCAAATTTTTTCGACATTTTCGACATTTTCAAAGAGCTCGTTAATAATTAGTAATAACGTTGACGTGTACCAAATCTTAAACTTTACTTTCAAATAAAAATTGTCGGTCAAAACCAGAAGTTTTAGATAACAAAAATCACAAAAATTTTGTTTATTATTTATACGAAATCTAAATAATAACAAAATAGGATGCGTAAATCACATCAGTAAGCAGCAACAAGTTAACTATATAAAAATATATATATGGAATACAATACAACTTTTTGTTTTTGTCATATGCAAAGAAATTTATATCACACTTTGGAAAATAGGGATGTTCTAAGCGGGGTTTGGGACTTGGGCAGGAACTTTTTGCAAAATTTAGGGACACTATATTTTTTTACTTTACTTTTTATATGTGCAACGTTAATGTGTATCACTGATATCAAACCTTTGTTTTGTTACTTATCTTAAAAATGGGGGACAAAATCAGTTTAATATTACCATATTTGAAAACAATTAATTGACATATAACTAATCCTGATACATTAAATATGCACACAATATTTTTTTCTATACGCAAAATATGTCAAGAGACCTTTTTTAATACATTTCTCGCTTTTGTTACCAAATTTGGGTCTTTCAAATTTCCTTTTTTAAGTAAATGACTTGTTATCAATAAACATGTCATTTAACCAAATATTGTAAAGGATGTTCCTTTAGAAGTTTCTTATTACCTAATTCATTAATTCATTGATATTTTCTCATCTAAATTTTCACAAGATATTTGCGTTATCATTTTTATCTGTAATCAACTAATAAAAGATTTGATATTTTGGAAAATAATTGTGCCCAGTTCTGAAAAAAAAAGGGACGAAAAAAATTTTTTTTCTTTAATGAATTGATCCCCTTTCTCTCTAATTCACTTATCACCTTATACCATTTTGATGTAATATTTTTTTTTTTTTTTTTTTGAGCAAGTACATTTTCTCACCAATCTGCAGCGACTCATTTCTATGAACTTATTTTTATCGAATTTTTTAAAAGATTATGCAAATAAAATAAACATACATGTATCTTTCTGATTAAGAAAAAGTCAAGAAAAAATTAAGACAATACATTCTCAGATTATTCGAGCGAGGCGCACTCCTGGAATTCAAGTACGCCGAATGTACAAATCAGGTTATCTATTGTTTCCGTGTTTGGAAATTTGTTACTGCGCAAAAGTTGGCACTTATCATGTGATAGAATTTTGTAAAGTCTTAACTTTGGGTAGATTAAAGGTTTTATCCATAAATCTGGCGAGAATTAAATAGACCATAGATACAGTCACGTGATATGCACATCACATGGACACTTCGATAACTTATTCGTCACATTATTTGTCAACCTGTCACTTTCACGCGTTAGTGCATGCGGCATACCGCAGTAATGCGGTAAAAATCACGTGACTGTAATTTTTTTTGTTCATGGCAAGAATTAAATTAGTGACGGAATAATAATAATGTCTTAATGTCTTAATCAAATGATTTGTATACGCGACAATTTATTAAATTGTTACGCGAATTAAATATGATATAAAATACTTAAATACTTAACGAGTATTACGAGTATTACACGTTAATTAACTAATTAACTAATAATAATCAACGTTAGTAAATAAAGCTACATGATCGCCAAATCTTACTATCATAATTTTCATGATAAATTCCGTGAATACGCTATATTTATAGAAAACAGAATACAAAAATACGAATAACCATATATATGTATCAACAGATTACGAATTATACGCAACTGAAACAACCAACTGAATATATTTTTTTAGAAAGATGACGACGATCCGTGATACCATCATAATTGTTTCCGTTTTGAGTGAATTCGGTAAAATTATTTCTCCGCGGTTCCAGGAGTAACCATAAAAAGTTTCCTGGTGCTCGGGTAAGAACAATAGAATAAAAACATTATATTATCCTATTTCAAATGAATAACTCCTTTTACGGATGTTCATTAAATATAATAATAATTATGTGATAAAATTGATGTATCATTAATCAGTGTAACGTATTATAATTTCCGATTATTAAGGGTAGAAATACAAAATACTGCGGAAGAGTATTTGTGGCCGAATTTTGGTTTAATTCTACCAGAATTAAAAATTTTAAGTTGTATACCACCTGGTGGGTACGCTTCTATGCAATGCTAGACGATACTTCCGTGATTTCGTCCAAATATATACTGTACTAGCTTTGGAAACAAATAAAAAATTTGATAAAATTAAAAGGTTTAAAATTAGATTTTATAAAAGTCCAGAGCCCCAACACCATCGCGTGAAAATTAAAAAAAAAATTGTTATATTTTTGACGAATTCATATTATAATAATTTTCAGAATATAAGATGGCAATAAATTACTTTCATGAATTGAAAAACATGGTTCAACCAATTTTAAAAGTGGATTTTCATGATGAGACGGACAATGTCCCAGAAAACTTCAGTTTTTAATGTCTTGTCCCAGATCACAATATTTGGGTTGATTATCTTAATCATTATTTGGGATGGTTATTACCATTTTCTAACGATGCTATACATATTATATCACCTAAGAAAATAGGAAATTTAAGACTAGTTATCGATTTAAAAAGTTAATCCGATACTGGCTCAAAGGAATTAGTGGAAATAGTATTCCACAGCGGGATACGTAATTATAATTTCTTACGTTTGTACTGTATGATTGAATGCCATAGTTTAAAAAAGCGTTTACGGACCGTTTCCCGACAACCATTTTCCCGACGTAACCTTTTCCCGATAACAAGACACATTCTCAAATAGACATTTTCCCGCAAAAATACACGTATTTGCTGCAATTAAAATAAAATTAATTTTATATTCATTGTTTAATTTATTTATTTAAAAAAAAAAATGATATTACATGATGAAAGCGATTAGAAAATTTAAGAGGTTATCCGTTATTGAACAGGAGAATCTAGGAATTTTTTGTGCATGGACACCCTGTTTAGCAAAGGAGGTCGGTAATGAAACCCGGATTTTAAGATAAAACCTGCATCGATAATTAAAGGATTTAGGCTTCGCCCAGTTTCACTAATTCTGTGAAAATTAATTATCTACGAAGGTTCTACACGATCTTGAAGTAGGCTAAGAAAAAATAACCCGTTCACGTAGGAATTTAACGCGATTTGATTTAGGAGCTAATAAACATATTGAGAAGATAACAAAGTTAGAAAGACATGGTCACGGACCAAGTTAAATTGTTGCATCCACTCGTAGATGGAAGAAAGCTTCATGCCAGTTAGGTTCTAAGCCGATGATAAGTAAGAGATCTGTTAGAGACTTCTGACATCGTTCCAATGGAAAGATATAAAGAGAAATAAAAAAAGGACGACGAAACCAATAGATACTCGAAATTATTTAACTGGAGATACTGTACCTTGTGGACTATCTTTCTGAGAGACTGCTTTAACGCGGAAAAAAAATGACATTAAGGCCAAATCGATATTTGGCGGATGGTATTATTATTTACTGTATCATTTTATAATTTACAAGATTTCTTTCGATTGTTACACTCTTGCAGACCACCTCAGTTAGCTAAACAATAATTTAACAGCGATTTATTTCAATAATTTTGTTTCGCGTTACAGAGTTTTTACTTTGTCACGCAAATCACGTAAAACCCATTTCACAAATACTGCGAGTTGTGAGGTTTTTTTTGTTGGATCTTATTTTAAAAAAATGTGTTTCAATAAAAAAATAGATGAAAATCTTTTTGTAACTTTTATTTATAATAGCTTAACAATTTTTGACGAATATACAATAGTTGCTCCTAAGCAAAGTTCTGCTTCTCAATGCTCTGTTTGCAAAATAATGTTCAAGTCTAAGTGAGGCTTAGCATATCATGAAGCTATTGTACGCAAATATAACATTCTTCATAATAATTTCTATAAGCTTCTTATTAATGAGTTTAAAAAAAAACTTTTTCTAATTCATTTCAATTACCTAATTATTTTAATAAAATGAGAATGAAAGCTGTTACTAAAGCTTGTACTGAAGGCCAATTTTTGACAACCTTTAATGGACATATTCACAATTATTCTAGTGAAACTCGAACTTAACAAGTGTACAGTATATTTTGGGGTCCAGATGCATCATCTAAGCTAGCTCAGATTTTTGATAATGAAATTGTGGGACAAGGACTTATCAGGGAGACGAGATAACACTGGTAGTAACAAATCTTGTGATCTAAATACAGAAGAAAATCCTCTTTCCCAAAAGCGAAAACTAATCTGTTTACAAAAAAAAACCACGATTTAAACGGGGCGAGGACCGCGAGGTAATTATTGAATGGAAGCCTAAACGTAAAAAGGATGTGATTGGTAACAACCTAGATTTTGAAAACTTCAATAATTTTGTTGCTGCTATGTCGTAAAATATTATATCACATGCTTCTTTACTGTATTTATTGGAAGATTTTTTGTCAGTTATTAACGACACTTCAGTAATACTTTTTGCCACTTTTTTACCGACTTTGACTTTTTTCGATTTCAATTATTTCCGTGTCATGTTTTTCAATCTGATCCTTAATTCATTCTGCGTTTCTCAAAGATAATGGGAATTATAAAAACATTATACAGACGAAACTTTAAAGGATTTGACTTGTTGTAGATGACCGGCCAGATAAGACTAAATTCAACAAATTTAGTTTTAGTGAGATTAAAAAAAAACCTTTATATAATACCCAAGTAAAGGATGTCAATCAATGATTATGAAACCGGATGCGGAGAGAGTTATGGGTCTCCTTATGATCAATAAGATGAATCTTTCCCATTTTATTTATATTTTTTGACATGAAAATAGACCTATTATGCATTTAAAAGAGGCTATCAATTCCCCATGTGTGATATTACGGATCTTTTTACTTTGTGGGGAGTTAACATACTCAAAGAGAATATCGAGAATATGGATTTTCAAGAAAACAACTGGACTCGCTTCACGAATCTGAAGAAATTGCAAATTATTGGGAAGAACCTCCCGGTATTGGTTATATTCATGTTCTCATTATCCTTGAAACGCCAAAATCTTTAGACGATTATTTCGAAAGTAAATTATCAGAAGCACTATAATAGAATTGTATCTCAAAGAATTATGCCAATAACGTTAAATTGAAGATTATTTTTTAGTACGATAATAACGATGTTTATTAATATAACATTTATATAACATTTATAAGATATGGCGAGATTATGTGGAAGAGATTATATTTATACATATATCTTAAATATAAATTAATTTATATTACAGAAGTTTAAAATTTAAAAACCTTGTTAGATTATAACCAATGCTCCCATCGTTTTTGTTCTGCACATTCTCTTCTCCATTTGAATCAAGTTGATTTTTAATTGGACGCGATATAATCTTAGAAGGTGTGATTACTTTATAATCTGAGTCTAAATCCCTTCCTACCAGAGGAAAATAACAAAGATCCACACATATTTCATCAAAATTATAATCCTCCCATCTACCAATCATTAAATCTGGATTTATTTTATCATTACTTTCAAAAAATTTAATTTCAGGTATTGGTTCTTGAATCATTAAACGAAACCAAAATATTCTTAATACATCTCTAATAAGTGTTTGTGCCAACTTTTCCACTTCATTCCTTCTATCAACATCATTGATTTGACGATATTGATTCATAATTTCATTCAAATTCTTGCTATAATGAAAAATAAAAGTATGAATGTGAGTACCTTGAGAAGAAATAATATCTGAGAAACCACGATTACCGAGAAGTTGGTAAACTTGTTGACGAATTTTAATTGCAGTAACTTTAGACACTTCATCATTTCCAACACGAGTTTCTGAGAATTTCTTTATCATATTTGACAATTCATTCGTTTTTATATCAATTTCTGATTCTAGAGAATAACCATTATTCCTATATTTCCTATAATTTTTTGAAAAATCGAAAATTTGTTGTAATACTTTGCGTTGTAAAACCGCTTTAATGAAAGGTTTATCCAACTTTCCCGGTTTCATTTCTCTCTGACAACCATATTGTCTTATAAGAACATTTACTTCTTTAACATTAATATCTATGTTAACTTTCAAATTTGTGACATAATTTTCCAATGTACGTTGTAAGCTCAAAATATCTTGTTTCAAATGAACGGGATTATTTTGATCATTGTTATCCAAACGTACACTTATTGCGTCACCAAGTTCTGATTGATACCTTGATGCTTCATCTTTGAGCTTTGTATTTCTTTGCTTAAGATCACTTAATTGACTTTGTAAAGATGTAATAATTTCTTCTGCTTGATCATGTGTTTTCTGAGCCTGTAATTTCAATTCCAAGTCCTTTATTTTTGTTTCATATGAATCTTTAACTTTTGCGAAGTCTTGTTCTACGATTTGTTTTTCTCTTAATAAATTATCGTTATCTTCTTTCAATTTCTTATTTTCATTTTGTAGTTCTTTGTTTAGATCACTTATCTTATTAAATTTTTCAACCATAGAATCTAAATCTGTTGATTTTTGTTTCAAATTTTCAGAGAGAGAAGAGTTTTCAGCTTCAAGTCTTTTCATATCACTAAATTTTTTATCCAATTCTTCTGGTGTAATTTCTATATAATCTTTAAGTACAGAAAGGGATTCATTAGGTTGCTCATTATTACTGTTTTTAGAAGTATCATGTTTTGCCCTTTTCTGAGGAACAATTTCTTCGCCATTTTCATCGCAACCATCTACGAATTCATATGTATCCTCATCATTAGTATCATCAATATGAGAATAATCTGATTTTATTGCCGGATTTTCTTTCAAAGAACTCATTTTTTTAAAAGAAAAAAAAAAAAAGATCGATCTTTAAATAACGTCTTTTTTTTTTTTTAAAAAAAAAAAAAAAAAAAAAATTTTTTAAAGGAAGAGAAAGAAAGTAAATATTCTCCGGTGAAACTATTTATATTATTTTTTTTTTTGTGTAATGAATGTAACAATAAATATTAATATTTAGGTATATTTAGTATTTTTATAATGACATAATGACTAAAACGATAATCATTTCCTGAAATATTATGTTTATATGTTTGGCTGGGTCAGGTGGTCCAGGCGGGTCAATCATTTTTGATGCATTTGAATGTATGAATGCATTGATATCACCAATTTCGTATCTTCAGTGTCACTTTCCCCTATATGTAAATATAATATCGTAATATCTCCTTATAGTACAATAGTTAAATTTTATTTATACAAAAATATTTATTTATAAAAATTACAAATATAAATAATTAATATTTCACAAGTCTAAATCATATCTCTGAGGTTTAAATTCACGATTTGAGTTACGAGCATTAACCTCAATTTCAACAGCACCAAAAACCATTTCATATAATACAGAACGGTCTCCATTAGGAGGTAAATCAACCGAAAATTTACCAAGTAATTTAGAGGTAGGTTCATCACAAAATTTAGTATTTTCTTGTGTTGTAACGAATAAATCCAAACCCATTTTAACCTGTTGTCGATGAAAAGGATGAAACGTTCTAGTTACTTTCGCATCAACGGGCATTTGTTTACCCCGTTCTGCTAATTTCTCAAATACAACGATCCTATCGTCTGGACGTCTTCTGTTTAATGGATCACCTTGTCGCCATCTACGTGTAATATCAGTTCCTAATAAAAATAAATAAATAAATTTAGAGTTTAAAAATTTTTAAATTACAGTAGAAAATAAAAAAATCTTACCATAAGTCCATTTCAAAACGCGCGAAAAAACGACTTCTTCTCTCAATCCATATTGAACGGCTAACAATAATATGAATAAAACGTTAACATAAAAGTAAATATAAAATATTTAATCACTGGCGGGGTGATCATCACCGTTGCCCGGAATTATCAATTTTTACCGGCACTATATTTTTTTAATGCTGGTCGATCGTCATAATTTCGGTTACCGGTTAGAAAAATTCAATATTTTTTAAATGATGATCATTCTTACCTCCTTTAATTATTGAGGTAACAGGTTGAGGTGGTATAGAAATAAGTTTAATTTTTGAACTAAATTCTTTTTTAATTCTTGATTGTAAATATTTTGATTCGCTAAATCCACCGACCAATATTAAAGCGGAACAATTTTTATTCATACGTAATTGCTCATGAATTAGTCTCAAAATCTTATCTATAATGGGATCGAACATTGCTTTGACATCTTTAAATCTTAATTTAACACTCCATTCGTCATCTTCCATATGAATAAGATAATCTCCCCTACAATATTGTTTTAAAATGGGACACATTTCTAAGAAGAAAAATAAAATAAAATAAATAAATCAATTCAGCTCTTAAAAAAAACGTATATATAATATAATATATATATTACCGTCTAATTCCAAATCGAAAGTCTCAAATTCTGACGGGTCTCCAGTAAATTTCATTTTAACCATTCTAACAAATTCTTGTACCATAAATTGAAGTTGACCATAATGATTCTCTTTAACAAGTTTAATTGCATTTGTTCCGACTCTACGTTCTAGAAATCTAAGAAATTCTTGATCTACATAGCTACCACCACAATAATCTCCATTTCTTACTGTAATTTCGCTTAACCTTTCACCATCCAAAAGCTGTCTTGTTGTCAAATCTACTGTACCACCACCGCAGTCAACTACCATAAATGAAGCTAATTCACATTCAAAAAAAGATTATATTTTTAGAAATTTTTTTTTTTTTTTTTTTTTTTTTTGAATTTGATAATTTTTATTGATACATACCACCAATCGGCAAATTGTGTTCTATTAGTGATTTCATACAATGAACCGCGGCAGCTTCGGCTGATAACAAAAAAAAATTATCATAAATACACGTGACTAAAACATCAGTATTCGATTACCGAATACTTACGCTCTGTTGTAAATTTCAAATTTCGACTATATCTGTCCCTTAATAATCCTGCACTATGAACGCATTCTCTCATAATAGTCATTGCCTTATCATCAAATTCAGCAGGAATCTACATTAAAAAAAAAAAATTTTAATAGTTATTAAGCACCCGGCCTGCATTATACCGGTTTTGACCGACATTATGATAATTTTGGCCGGAATTATATCAATAAAATAACGGTAATCATTTTTTATTTTACTTACCGTTAAAACAATTAAAGTTTGAGTAAAAAAATTAATATCCCATTTTTCGGCTATACTTTTTTTTATAACTTTACCCAATTCACGAAAATAATCAGTTATGGCTTTTTTATAATCAAAACCTTCTGGTAAAGCAGGTTTATCTTTCATTTTTCCTAAGTGTAATTTAAATAATTCAACGGGTTTTCTTTCAGATTCTTTCCTTCTTTTTGGTCTCTTTGCTAATGCTGGAAATCCCCATGATTGTACATTTTGATATTCTACATCATATGATAATGCTGTTGGAGTTTTAAATCGTCCGGTATATTCTTGCCAATCTATGTGTACAGTAATCTCGCTTGGATTTTTTTTATGTGCGTACGCGAAACCCTTTGAAATAAAATTTTAATAAAATTTGAGAAAGTTAATCATGACACTCAATACTATAATAGCATTGAACCATAACTAAAGTCTCGAAAAGAACATACCGAATAAGTGGTTCCGAAATCTATAAAATTCGTAACAAAATTAATAAAAAAAATATTTTAAACATATTAAATGGATGCGAACGAATATAATTACTTACCAATACCAATAACAACGCGATAATCGTTAGATTTGTACATAATTATCAGGAAAAAAAAGTTATAATGTCAAGAATTATAAAATCTTCGTTTATTTTTCTTATCGTGTGGAATCTTCAAAAAAATTTGGGAATTTTTATCAATGAGATAACCAGATCACATGATTCGTAAATTATTCGTTATAGATTTACCTTTTTCCTTTTTTGATTGAATATGCATGTACGAAATTTCAATTGTTTTTATTATATAATGTTTTTACATCAATTTATCATGAGGTCTTGTGAAGAACTTAAATAAATATAAAACAAATTAGGAAAGTTCTTTTTTTTTTTTAAATAATGAACCTTTTTCCTATCCTGCACATTCTGCAAAAAAAGAATGAGATAGAGAAAAAGAGTCTTCTTTTAAACAATGAAATTTTCTGTCCCACATGATATCAGAGTTATCTTCTTGCTATTGTTCTTGATAAAAATATAATAAATCCTCTTTTGGTTTTATTTAAAGATAACGGAATGAGTGCATAATCAATTAAAATTTTATCATAATTTCTTTTTAATTAAAAATTTTAAATAATTTAATAAATACACAATATTTTCACGTGCGCAAGATAACTTTGAATTTCATATAAACTTAAGAATTTCGCAATTTAATCTTGTCATTAACAAATCATTCTTAAGAAATCATGTCAACAGATTTTACGCAAAGTAACGAAAAGGTATCAAACGAATATAACGAATACGACTCAGCATATTTATCGGGAAGCGAGACCTCGGGTGAAAGACTGAAAACTAATGCTAATGACACGAATGAAAATTATGTTTATTCAGTAATGCCACTTTCAACGGAAATGCATTATAATCCGGATAGTAGCGATCAAGTACCATATAATGAAGCCAATACTAGTTACTATAATACATATAATAGTAACCAGATACAACATAATGAAGATAATACCAATAATATGCGAACTCAATTAACACAACCTTTCGATACTATCAAAAAGCTCGAAGAAGAAAAGGAAAACCTTCAAGATGAAATTCGTAACCTTAATAAAGATAAATTAATGTATGAGAAAAGAAATAAAGATTTACAACTTGACTACGATAATTTACGAGAAAAACATAATGGGTTAACAAACAAAAACAAAGATCCTAAAATCAAATTAGAAGAACTTGATCAATTGCAGCAATCCTTAAAATCTAAAGAAAATCAAATACAAAATTTAAAAATGGAAAAAGAAAAGTTAGAAACCAAAAATAATAATTTAGTTCAAAGAAATGTCAATTTAGAAAATCAATTAGATGATCTTAATAAACAAAATGCTTTATTAGAAGATGAAGCATCAAATTACCAATCTGCTCTTGGTGTAGCTACAAATTTTCAATTAAGTGATGATGATCAAAATCATGGCGTAAAATTAAATAATACCATCTCGGAATTAAATGATAATATAAAGAAATATATAACAAATTTAAAGCAAGATATTGTTGTTAACATTGAAGAAGTTAAAAAACTTTTATTACTTTATAAATGTTCAACTAAAATCACGAGTCAAAAAAAAGATCGGTTAATTATTCAAGCGGTTTTACATCGTCATGTTATAGAAACAATATTTTCGTATGCGTTACATTATTTTGGACAGACAGAAAAACATGAAGCAGACATCGTTAGAAATGAAACTTTGTTATCAGAATTATTGGCTCATACCTCTAAATGTCGTACTGGAGATGATGAAATAACACGTGTTGGACCAACAAAATTAAGACAACAAATATATTCAATTCTTAGCAATCGTGGATTTGCCAACGTAATTGATAACAAAGGTGAACATGAACATCCTTTCATTAGTTCTCGTAAGGAAGATCTTAACAAAGTTATGAACCAATTACGTACTATCAAAGATAATGGAAAAAAAAATAATTCTGAAAATTTGGCGGCGACTATCATTCGTGAAGTTGTGAAACTATTTTGGTTCAGATTGAAAGTCCAAGAACCTGTCGCCGAGTATTTCTGGATCCCAAATAATACTAAAGTGGATCAAACAATTATGAAAGCAAACCAACCTGAAAATGATGATGATGTCGATACATACGTCGATTTATGTTATTTCCCTCAAATTGGAAAAGATCTCGATACAAAAGATCCAAAAACTTACACTCTTGCAAACGTCATTACACGAAACTTCCAATACGATTATCAAGTTTTAGAGAATATTCCACAACAATCAGAAAATCAAAATCAGGAAAAATCTACTCATAACGATAAGCAAACGATTAGTTTACAAAAACAAAATCAAGAACCATCAACTCATAAGCAAAAATCCAATTCACAAAAACAAGATCAAGAACAAATTCAAAAGCAAAAAAATGGGTCTCTATTTGGTTTTTTGTCGGTTTCAAGGGTTGTCAATAAGTTCAAATTTCAATAGTGCGGCGCAATAGAATTTTACTTTTTTTTTGTGTTACTTATTTTTTATGTATGGTATTTATAAATTTAAGCTATTGATTAAGATTTTAGTAAATATGTATTTTAAATCGAATAAAAACTCGGTATATTTTATGAAATAAATCATATATAAGCCTTTATTAATTTATCAAATAAAAGTCGTAATATACAACGTACAATATATGATAAGTAATAAACTCAAAAATGTAATAAACTCAAAGATATCTATTTATTTTTACTCTTATTTTATTATAGAATTTGATTGCCAACGCTATTTTAGTAGTTTCTTTGTTGTCTTGTTGATGCTCTTAAATTTGATGTTGGTTTTGCGATGACCTTTGCAAGAGTATATATTTTTCGATTATTTGAATCAATATCTCTTCCAATTAAAGGGAAGAAACATAAATCAACATATGAATTTACAACTTCATCTTTATCATCCAAATTGGCTACTTCCACTAATGTTTTATCCACTAATGTATTATTCTGAATCCAACGATATTGTACAACGGGTTCCTGAACTTTCAATCTAAACCAAAATATCTTTACAACTTTACGAATGATAGTCGCTGCCAAATTTTCAGAAGTGATTTTCTTTTGATTACTATTGATCACACGTAGTTCATTCATAATTTTGTTTAATTTTTCTTTATGGTAAGCAATGAAAGGGTGTTCATGAAGAGTTTTACCTACTCCAATAATATCGGCAAATCCGCGATTGCTAAGGACCGAATAGATTTGTTGACGCAATTTCGATGGTCCAACGCGCGTTACTTCATCATTTCCAGAACGACATTTGGAGGCATGAATTAATAATAAGGATAATGTGGATTCGTTTTTAGCAATGTCCGATTCAAGATGATAATGTTTTCCTGTGCTTTGAAAATATTGACTTGCATATTCGAAAATTTTTTCCATGACGTGCCGGTGTAAAACTGCTTGAATAAGTAGTCGATCTTCTTTTTGGTTCTGGATTCTAGTTGGACAGTTATAAAGTAATAAAAGTTTTTTAACTTCTTCCATATTAACAATAATATCTTGCTTTAAATTTGTTATATATTTCTTTATATTGTCGTTTAATTCTAAAATATCTCCATTTAAATTTACAGCATTATTTTGATCATCATCTCCTAGTTGAAAATTTGTAGCTACACCGAGAGCAGATTGATAACTTGACGCTTCGTCTTCTAATAAAGCATTTTGTTTAGTAAGATCTTCTAATTGAGTTTCCAAATTGCCATTTCTTTGAACTAAGTTATTATTTTTAACTTCTAACTCTTCTTTTTCTTTTTCTAAATGTTGTACTCGATTTTCTAATCGTTGGACATCCTTTAAACGTTGTTCCCGTTCCTTGATTTCACTCTTCAAATTTCTAATAGCCACATCACGTTGATTTGTTTCTTCATTGTTTTTAGTTAATAATTCCACATATTTCTCGTTGTATTTATCACACATTATTTTATATTTGTCAAGTTCATCTCGAAGTTTTCTCGCTTCAACTTCAAGTTTACCGTTACTATCAAGCGATGAATTTAATTGAACAACTATTTCATTAATATAATCTTCGTTATATGTGTTATGAGGCGTTTGATGCGAATTGTAATACATTTCCGTTGAATTTGGCATTTTTTTATAAATTTCATTTTTGTTATTTTTAACATTGGTATTCGATGACGGTGGATTATTTTTTTTAGTAGATCTAGTATTCATGATTTTTTAATTGAAGCAAAAATAGCTTTCGAAATAGAAGAGTTTTTTTTCAAAGTTTATATGAATTTGATGATGCCTTGTGCACGTGAAGATATTTCGAACCGGTTATTTATCGGAAATTATTATGAAAAAAAAAGTTCCTGATTTTTTTTATTAATAAATTGATGTTGCAGAATTCTTGCGTTTTATTCCGTACGTTATCTTTCAATAAAGCCAAAAGTGGCTTATCATGAACAATGAAACTAAAAAGATTTCTACTTGCAGGACTGGGAAAAATATTAAGAATTTTTTTTCGTGAGAAAATCTTCGTTATTTAAAAAGAATCCTTCCTTTTTTATATTATCTTCTTGCAGGAAGAAAAAAAAAAAGAATAATAGAAAATGCGAAAGAATAAATTATTAATTCTGTCGTTGTTATCTCTTTGCAGGACCAGAAATATTATTTTGTAATCATCTTATGATCAACTAAATTGGAAATAAAAGAAATAAAGTTGTATTATATAATTAAACCCACGTGATTTAGTCAACTCTTTAAAATAAAATTCGCGTTATTAGATTTTTCAAAGTCCTTACCATTATACTTTCTTTTTGTTAAACAATAAACATGTCCAAAGCGTCAGATTATCGTGTCATTGTTAGTATCGGTAAGCAACGTATTCATTTATATATTTAATATAAGTATTATTTTCTGTTATAATCATTAATTCTGTTGCAAATTTAATAGATTTTGGAACCACTTATTCGGTATGTTACTTTTGTTGTTATTCAATACAAAACAAAGAGTTAAAATATCAATTTGATTTTTTATCAAGGGCTTCGCATACACGCACATAAAAAATAAAGAAAAAGAAATTTTCACACATACAGATTGGCAAGATTATGCTGGACGATTTAAAACTCCAACAGTATTATTATACGATGACGGACTTAAGAGTGTTCAATCGTGGGGATTTTCAGCATTGGCCAAGCGACCAAAAAGAAAGAAGGAGAAAGCAATTGATAAAAAACCTGTTGAATTATTTAAATTACATTTAGGAAATATGACAAACAAACCTTCTTTACCAAAAGGACTTGATTATAAAAGAGCTATTACTGACTATCTCCATGAATTTGGTAAAATTGTAAAAATTAAAATAAATGATTGTTGGAAAGTTGATTTTTTCACTCAAGTTTTACTTATTTTTACGGTAAATTAATTAATTAATTTTTTTTTTTTTGTGAATTTATATCATCAAATTAATAAAGTTAATTCATTAAATATAAAAGGTTCCTGCTGAATTTGATGATAAAGCGATTTCGATTATGAGAGAATGCGCTTATAAAGCAGGATTATTGAAAGACCAATTTGCTCGAAATTTGAAATTTATGACAGAACGTATGTACAATTCATCTTTATCACGTGTTATTTATAAATAGATTTAAACCCTTTCGTCATTTAAACAGCCGAAGCCGCCGCGATTCATTGTATGAAATCTTTAAAGGAACATAATTTGTCGGTTGGTGGTAAGTAGTAAGTACTTATAATTAGTAATTGAAATTATTTCTTTTATTAATTCTTTTTGTTTGTTAGCAAACTTTATGGTTGTTGACTGCGGCGGTGGTACAGTTGATTTAACAACAAGACAACTTTTGAAAGGTGAAACATTAAGCGAAATCACGGAAAGAAGTGGAGATTATTGTGGTGGTAGCTATGTAGATCAAGAATTTCTTAAATTTTTAGAAAGTAAAGTTGGAGCAAATGCAATTAGTCAAGTTAGAGAAAATCATTATGGTCAACTTCAATATATGGTACAAGAATTTGTTAGATTGGTTAAAATGAAATTTACCGGAGATCCATCAGAATTTGAGGATACCGAATTGGAATTAGACGGTAATACATTAAAAGATGATTAATTAAAATTATTTATTATTTATTTTTGAAAAAACTAACTTATCTTTGTTTTTTTTTAGATATTTGTCCTGTTATAAAACAGTATTGTAAAGGAGAATATCTTGATAAGATGGAAGAAGATGAATGGACTATCAATTTAAAATTTGATGACGTTAAAAAAATGTTTGATCCCATTGTAAAAAAGATTATTAGATTAACTGATTCTCAATTACATTTGAGTAATAACAATTGCTCTGCAATATTAATGGTTGGCGGATTTAGCGAATCAAAATATTTACAATCAAGAATTAAACAAGAATTTAGTTCAAAAGTTAAACTTATTTCTATACCACCTCAACCTGTTATTGCTATAGTTAAAGGAGGTAAGAATGTAGATGAATAATTATTATTTGATTAAGAATTATGATTTTAATATTTTATTCACATTAGCTGTTGAATATGGCTTTAGAGAAGAGGTTGTTTCCACACGTGTTTTGAAGTGGACCTACGGTAAGATTTATCACTTTATAATTAAATGATAAGTTTATACATTAAAATTTTTTTTTTTTTTATAGGAACTGACGTTGCACGTAAATGGCGAGAAGGTGATCCGGTAAATAGAAGACTTGGTGATGGTAGGATTATTGCGTTTGAGAGATTAGTAAAACGAGGTACGCAAGTAAACGTCAATGATAAGGTATATCAATCATTTATTTCTTATGATGCAACTCAACGTAGAATGGGTTTGGATTTATATGTTACACCACAAGATGATGCTGAATTTTGTGATGATCCTGATGTTAAAACACTCGGTAACTGGTCAGTTGAATTACCTGATTCTACAAATGATGATGATCGCTCTATTTTATTTACTATGATTTTTGGTAATGTGGAAATTGATGTTACTGCTTATAATTCTGGTACTGAAGCTATTTTTGATACCAAATTTGAACTTGATATGTAATTATTTTATTTTATATCATTTTGTAAAAAAATATTTTTTTATTTTATAAATATATTAAATATATTTCAATAAAGTTATAACAGTATTCTAAATGCACTACATACTTGCACGTGTTATTGTGTTATTGATAGTTATTATAAATAGAGTTTCATTTAAAACAATATCTATAGTAAAAAGTCATGGGGGTGGGTAGCTCGGTTACGCCCAGAGTAGTTGGTAAATATTAGGCGGGACAACTCCTTTTGGGGTCGGATCAACTCGTATCGTGTAGTTTAGTATTGTTTTTGTAATTCATACTTCTACCTTTTACTTGTAATCCCGGTTTCTGTCTTCATGATAAAAATAAAATAAAATAAAAATATCTATAGTAAAAATAGAATGTTTTTGTTTCCATAAGTAGTTCAGAATGGAATTTTTAATAACTTGTAATTCGCCATTATACAGTACTTTTAATTCATTAAAACTTCACATGAAAAGTACTTAGATAAAAGAGTACAAGATTTTGATAATTGATACGAAATTATTTCAGACACATGCTAATGAAATAAAGTGCGGAATTCTTTCTATAATATCATTTTTATTATGGTTACTAGGTTTATTTAATGAATGCATAAACGAATTCATAGAAACTAAAATTGAATGAAAGAATAAGATTAAACTTATTTATTTATATTTATTAATGTTATTTATAATGAAAACTATTTGGTAAAATGAAAAATCCTTTTTAAAAAAAAAAAATTATTATCGCATCCAATTTATTTCAATTTTTTATTTTGTTAAGCTTCAAATAAAGTTCATTATCATTGTGAAAAATTAAAAAAAAAATACAATGCTTAGGCAAAATTATACTGATGCACTCATTGATGATAGAATTTTAATTGGTGGATTTTGAGATAAGCTTATTCATGACGTAAATGCTCATAAATGACGTCGTGTTAATAAAAATAATTATATCAAGATATTATTATTAAAGTTGATAAATAATAAAACACTGCTAAATATCATCAGCGGTGACTACCACCTTGTAATTAAAATTAATTAAAAAATAATTTTAAAAAAATTTGTAATAATTCCGCTAAACCAATGAAACTAAATTTGAAGTTTGAACTTGATACATAATTATTTTACTTTATACTATCTGTAAAAAAAAAAAAAAAAATTTTTACTTATCTTAGAATAATAAATATATTAATATATTTCAATAAAGTTGTCGGCGTAACAACCTGAAATGTTCTACATACATGCACATGTTATTGTATAAATAAGGACTCAATAAAACAACATCTATAGCGAAAATAGAATCCTTTTGTTTCCATAAGTAGTTTGGAATGAAAATCCTTGATAATGAATTTTTCTTAAAATTATTTGTAATTCGCCATTATACAGTATTTTTAATTCATGAAAATTTCATATGAAAGTATTTAGATAAAGAGTACAAGATTTTGATAGTAGTTACGAAATTTTTTCGAAGACATATGCCAATGAAATAAATGCATATCAATTTGCAGAATTCTTTCCATAATATCATTTTTATTATGGTTACTAGGCGTCTGTTTATTTTGAATACATAAACGAATTCATAGAAACTAAAATTGAATGAAGAATAAGATTAAACTTGTTTATATTTATTTACTTTTAATATTATTTATAATGAAATCCATTTTGGTAAAACGAAAAATCTTTTTTTTATAGTTATCATTATATACAGTTTATTTCAATTTTTTTTATTTCATTTGTTAAGCTTCAAATAAAGTTCATTATAATGGTGAAAATTTAAAGTTAAAAAAAAAACACAATGCCTAGGCATAATGTGCTCGCTGAAGATAGAATTTAATTGGTGGATTTTGAGATAAGCTTATTCATGACGTAATGCTCATCAATGATGTCGTGCTAAACCCTGAAAATAAAAATAATTATATCAGGATATTATTATTAAACTTGCTAAATAATAATAAAACACTGCTAAATATCATCAGCGGTGACTATCACTAATAATATATAAATTTTTATCACTTTTTCAACCTTGTAATTAAAAAGTAATCTTGAAAAAATTTGTAATAATCCCGCTAAACCAATGAAACTAAATTTGAAGTTTGAACTTGATACATAATTATTTTACTTTATACTATCTGTAAAAAAAAAAAAAATTATTTTTACTTATCTTAGAATAATAAATATATTAATATATTTCAATAAAGTTGTCGGCGTAACAACCTGAAATGTTCTACATACATGCACATGTTATTGTATAAATAAGGACTCAATAAAACAACATCTATAGCGAAAATAGAATCCTTTTGTTTCCATAAGTAGTTTGGAATGAAAATCCTTGATAATGAATTTTTCTTAAAATTATTTGTAATTCGCCATTATACAGTATTTTTAATTCATGAAAATTTCATATGAAAGTATTTAAATAAAGAGTACAAGATTTTGATAGTAGTTACGAAATTTTTTCGAAGACATATGCCAATGAAATAAATGCATATCAATTTGCAGAATTCTTTCCATAATATCATTTTTATTATGGTTACTAGGCGTCTGTTTATTTTGAATACATAAACGAATTCATAGAAACTAAAATTGAATGAAGAATAAGATTAAACTTGTTTATATTTATTTACTTTTAATATTATTTATAATGAAATCCATTTTGGTAAAACGAAAAAATCCTTTTTTTTATAGTTATCATTGCATTCAATTTATTTCAATTTTTTTATTTCATTTGTTAAGCTTCAAATAAAGTTCATTATAATGGTGAAAATTTAAAGTTAAAAAAAAAAAAATACAATGCTTAGGCATAATGTGCTCGCTGAAGATAGAATTTAATTGGTAGATTTTGAGATAAGCTTATTCATGACGTAATGCTCATCAAAAAGCATTGCTAAAGATATTGTTACTAATAATACAGTATATAAATTTTAAAAGTAATTTTGAAAAATATGTAAACCTGCTAAATCAATGAAACTAATTTGAACTTGCATTATTTTACTTTATATTATTTGTATATTTTTATTTTTACTTATCTTATAAAAATAAATATATTAATTATATTTCAATAAAGTTATCGGCGTAACAACTATAATGTTATTATAAATAAGGATCCATTGAAAACAACATCTATAGCATAAATAGAATGTTTTCTGTTTTCATAAGTAGTTTGGAATGAGAATTCTTGATAATGAATTTTCCTTAAAATTATTTGTAATCCGCCATTATACAGTATTTTTAACTTATGAAAATTTCATATGAAAGTATTAGATAAAGGGCTTTAAGATTTTGATGGTAGTTACAATAAATGCATATCAATGTGCAGAAATTCTTTCCATAATATCATTTGCTATTATGGTTACTAGACGTCTGTTTATTTCTAATACATAAACGAATTCATAGAAACTAAGAATAAGATTAAACTTATTTATAATTTATTCACTTTTAATATTATTTATAATGAAACCCATTTTGGTAAAACGTCTTGTTAAGCTTCAAATAAAGTTCATTATAATTGTAAAAAATTAAAGTTAAAAAAAAATACAATTAGGCTGAAGATAGAATTTAATTGTTAGATTTTTGAGATAAGCTTATTCGTTACTCATCAATAATGTAATATTAATGACACGTGATAAATTTACAATCATTTTTTTAATAGCTTCAAATTTATCCAAATATTGAATTGTATTAAAAATCAGAAATTAAATTATGACAAAGAATTTTAATCAATTACTATAGCATTTCATAAAAAATTATGATGGATATTTGAAAAAAACTTGGTAGTGATAATATGCATTTAATTAAAAAAGTTTTATTAATGTGTATATTGCTTAATTTTTATGACAAATTATATGCTAAAAATACTGATCTTAATTTATTAGTAAAATTTATAGAAGAATAGTTTTCAACAATCTTTATTAAATTGCTTAAGCCAATTTTTTACAAAATTCTATTAATTAAATGATGTAAAGTTATAAGTTCATTTACATATTACAATTTGCCTTTTTTGACCAAGCTACCTGGATTTTTATTTTTAAATTCAAAAATTTTTAACCAATAAAATTTAAATAATTTCATATATTAAAAGTTTTAAGTTAAATAATATTATAATTATTAAATTTTTGGCATAAAAATCAATTGTAGAATATTTAATAAAATAAATAAATAAATTGCTAATCTTTTTTTTTTCATTTATCAGAATAAGAAATTTTTTTTAAAGTAATTTGTATCTATTTCAATTTTTCTGTAATATATTATATATAAAGTTATCATAATATTATAAAATATAAACTATTTTATTGGCCAATTATTTTAATATAAAAAAAAGAAAATTGCTAAAGTTCACTAGCAGTGATTGTCACTATACTAGCATTAAGATATACTTTTTTAGCCTGAATTAAAATTTAATAAAACACTGACCAGCATTACATCATAAATCCACCACTGGTAACCATTACTACTTGTGATATTTAGCAATACCCTAAAAAAAAAATATAAATTTTGAATTTGTAATTTATCAGTCTAACTGGAATATGAAAACTAAATTTCATTACCTTATTGATAAATATAAAGTGCTGTTTAATGGCAAAATTTCTATACTTAATTAATTACCATTTTTATTATTTTTAAAGACTCTTATCTATTAAATTAATAAATAATAAAATAAATAGTATATATTATTTAAGAAAAATACTAGCCATCACCACAGGTGATTTCACCTGATCATGTGAATTATTATTATGACATCATGGTGATTTCACCTAATCATATGAATTATTATTATAACGTCATTTAATTAAACTATTAATAAACTTTTTTTTCTCATGAATTGCCATTTTAATTTTTTTTTTTGACTTTTTCGTCAACCCACCTCCTTTTCTTTCATTACACATTTTAATAATAGACTTCTGTGAATATGTTGACGAAAATTCTACTTCTAGTGATGAAGAAAATGAACTTCGTATTATGTTGGTTGTAGATACAAAATTTCAGACATGGGAAGAACTGGAAGGTCATCTCACAGGTCGAAAAGTGAAAAATCAGGCACCAATTGGTGCCTGATTGGCATTTTCGCCAAATACCGTCACCAATCAGGCAGTTTGCTAACTTTTGATCCAGTGATCAGAAAAGAATGAAATATAGCTCATTGGAATCGTATCAACATGACGAATCTAATGGTAGTAAAATCTCATTTCTAGGATTAATACTTGATGAGAAATTAAGTAAAATATAAAAATAAAAATGGATCATTTATATTTTATTCAATTTTTTATTAACTATTAATCCTAGAAATGCGATTTTACTACCATTAGATTCGTCTTGCTGAGACGATTCCAATGAGCTATATTTCATTCTTTTCTGATCACTGGATCAAAAGTTAGCAAACTGCCTGATTGGTGACGGTATTTGGCGAAAATGCCAATCAGTCACCAATTGGTCACCAATCAGGTATCTGATTGGTGACCGATTGGTGACTGATTGATGCCTGATTTTTCACTTTTCGACCTGTGTCTGGAACGTTATGCTTTGCAAGAAGGATTTTCCTATAAAAAAACAAGAGTTGAGTATCATTTAAGTTATACATGCTGCCCAAATTATTTTGGGATGCTATAATTATAATTTGGGATGCCATAATTCATTCGGTTTATATATAATTTATTATGTAAAGTGCCAAAATAATTTGGGATGCCATAATTGAATTTGGGATTTTACTTATAATTACAGCAGTCCAAAATAATTTGGGTGGCATGTATAATTTAAGTCCAAATGAAATGAAAGGTTTAACAATAGAGCAAAAAAAGCATGAAATTAAACGAAGAACTTATGAGTGTACTTATTCTCGAGATCATACATCAAAAAAAATTGTTAACCTTGAAAATCAAAGAAATAGCACTGGTAAAAAAATGGTCTATCCTACACATATCCTACACATATCTTACACATATCGGGTACTCAAAATGTAGAAAATCATACACAAATAATACACATATCATATACATATCGGGTACTTATATATATAGTATACCTATCAGGTACCTGATATATGTATGATATATATATTAGTACCCGATATGTGTATGATATGTGTATTATTTGTGTATGATTTTCTACATTTTGAGTACCCGATATGTGTAAGATATGTGTAAGATAAATCATTTTTTTACCAGTGTAGAGAAACTCATCAAACTAACTGTCCTTGGCGAATTAATGTGACGTACTCTAAAAAAGAAAATTCTATTGGTATAACCTCTGTTAAACTTGAACATAATCATGATATAAATCCATTGGTTAATGAAATGACTCCTAAATTTCGGAAATTTACACAACAAATGCTTAACGATGTTGAATTTTATGTGAAACATAGGATAACTAGTGCAACACAAATATATCCACTATTACATGCAAAATTTCCTGACCATCCAATTTTCAAGAAGGATTTATACAATGCTATACAAAAATTTAAGGTTGGGCAAAAAGATACTACTAAAAATGATGCTGTTAACCTTTTATATCATCTTTATGATAAGAAGCAACAGAATCCTGAATGGTTCTTCGAATTTCAATTATCTGGAGAAGATCGATGATTAACATCCTTAATATGGATGTCACCTGATCAAATATATTATTACACTAGATTTCACGAAGTTTTAATTTTTGACTGTACAGCTGGAACAAATCGGTATGATATGGTCTTATGCTTATTTATTATTGTTGACAACAACACAAGGTCTTGATTAGTAGCAAGTGCTCTATTAGAAGATGAAACAGAAAGCTCATTTATTTGGGTTTTACACTAACTTAAAAAAGTATCAAATAATTTTTATCCTCAGGTTATTTACACAGACTGTGATCCTGCAATGGCAAATGCTATTAGTTCTATTTATCCAATAACAAAGCATAATTTATGCATATTTCACATTGACCTCAATCTTAAAAAAAATTTAAGACCAAAACTTAGTACTCAAAATTTTAATGAATTTCAGTCTGAATTTTTTTTATGTCGCAACAGTCTTATTACTGAAATTTTTGAAGCAAAATGGAAAAATTTAATCAACAAATTTCCAGAGGCAGCTAAATATTTACAACGAATGCTTGAACCAACAAAAGAAAGCTGGACAAGTTGCTATATAAACAAAATTTTTAATTGTGGAATAAACAGTACTCAGCGAATAGAATCACTTAATCGCTTACTAAAAGATACTGTACAAAAAAACTTTCTTTTATGTCAACTTGAAAGTGAAATTTAAAATATACTTGAAAATAAAATATGAAAGAATAACCAAAATGCATAATTCTTTACTACGCTAAACTTTAGATGATGTACCATCAAAATTCTTTGGACATATTAATAAAATTTGTAAAGATTTTTTAATGCCACATATTCTTACAGCAACACAAAACCAAATGAAGCATTCATTCTTTTATGATGCGTATTTAATGGATAGAAATATTATTCAGCAGGTAAATATTATAAGATTACAGTTAGGGAGAAATGTTTGTATAGGGTTGATTAGGGTATGGATTAGGATATGGATTAGGATATGGATTAGGGTTAGGGTTAGGGTTAGGTAAAGATTAGGGTAAGGATTAGGGTATGGATTAGGGTAAGAATTAGGGTAAGAATTAGGGTAAGAATTAGGGTAAGGATTAGGGTAAGGATTAGGGTATGGATTAGGGGTGTGGATTAGGGTGTGGATTAGAGTATGATTATTGTATGGATTTCATTGTTAAATGTCACTAATACTTTCTTGCTTTTCACATTTTATTTAGATCGATAATACAGATTATAAGGATCATAAGGAGAGTTTCCGTGAAGATGATTATGAGCCACCACAAACTTTACTCCAACTCATGATTAGAAATATACAAAATGAAGTGAATACTGAAATTTGGGAAGTTAAACCTGAGTTATCACAAACAAAATCTTATTTTGTTATTTTAATGGCAGATGGAAGTCATTCTTGTACTTGTAATCTCTTGATATCATTTGGCATTCCTTGCAGACACTTTTACAAAGTTCTTAGAAAAAGTTTACAAGCTAAATTTCATATTTCATTAATAAATCAATGCTGGTATCAAGATTTAAAACTTAGTATTACTGATCAGGAGTTGGCTTTATTGGAAGTGTTATCAATTGTTAAAGATAATTATACTGAAATTACAGCTCATAGAGATATTAATTTTGATTATATTCATCAAGTTCGTGGTGGTTATGTTTATACAGAAAAACTTAAGAATATTGTTTCAGTTAAAGCAAAATATGGAAGATTTTTAGGAATTGCAAGGAAAGCTTTAGATTTAGTTCAAAAATTAAATTGTTACAATGAATTAAATGGATTACTTCAAATGTTTATAGATGAAAAACAGCAAGAATTACTTCAAAAGGGCCAAACTATCGATAAAGAAAATAGTAACGATCATCAAAGAAATGATGAATCTGATATTATTTGTTCTAATCCAGTAACTTTAAGAAGGCGTGGATGTCCTCCAAATCGATATCTGAGTGAAGGTGAAACTGCAAATAAAAATAAGTAGCAAAAGATGACTACTGATTTGGAGTTAGAACGTATTCCAAAAAATAGTAATAATGGAAATAACAAGAAACAAAGGAAATGTAAAGAATGTCAGGGTGTAGGTCATGATTTACGTAATTGTAAAAGTAAGATTCTTAGTGAAAGAAATTAAATATTGTATTTAGATAGTTGTTAGAAAATTAGTTCAATTGTAATTTATTAATAAAAAATAAAATTTACTGCGATACTGCGATTACTGCGGCATGATCATATGATTTATTTATACCGGTGAAATCACCTGTGGTGATAATTAGAAATTTTCATTATTTAATTTTTGTATAATGTATAAGTAAGGTTGCTTGCCGAAACTAGAGGGTTTCAGCAGAATGGCGTATGCGAAACTGCCAAAACTAGTTTCACAAAATCATCAAGAAATGCTGAAACTGCAAAACCTATCAAAATCGTGAAATTGCCGTAACTTGCCAAAACTGTTTCAGCATTTTGGCAATACTTTCTATATGATTTAATTAGAGTTTCGGCATTTAAACAATTTATAACATCTGCAAATTGAATACGGCGTAATATTACGAAAATTTACGCCTGCGAAATACTCCGTAAATTTACATGACCTTCGAAAAATTATGCAACAGTAATATTTCGTAATTTCAACGCAATATTTCGTAAGTTTATGCATAATATTTCGTAGAATTACAGTGTAATATTGCCATGTATGTAAATTTTACATCATAGAATTTCTTAGATTTACGGTGCAATATTTCGAAACTTTTCGAAAGTGTAATATTTCGTAATTTTACGTTGTGGGATTTTCGTAGGTTTACGGGTGCAATATTTCGAAACTTTTCGAAAGTGTAATATTTTGTAATTTTACGTCGTAGGATTTTCGTAGGTTTACGGGTGCAATATTTCAAAACTTTTCGAAAATGTAATATTTCGTAATTTTACGTCGTAGGATTTCGTAGGTTTACTTTATAATATTTCGAAACTTTTCTGAAGGTATAATATTTCGTAATTTTACATCGCAGAATTTTGTAGGTTTACGGTATAATATTTCGAAACTTTTCTGAAAGTATAACATTTCGTAATTTTACATCGCAGAATTTCGCAGGTTTACGGTACAATATTTTGAAACTTTTCCAAAATATTATTATTTCGCGAACTTTTTTCACAAATTCAAGTGATTAATATATGTAATTACAAAATAACATTTTTCACTGTAACTTACAAGTAATATTTTATAAATTTATGTAATTTTTGTATTTTTATTCGAAATATAGCTACAATAAATAATTTGTATTTAAAACTATCATAATATTGCGTTCAATCTCGTCAATAGAATTTTTTTAATCTTATTTGTCGCTCATCTTCATTTATTTGACTTTCGTTCTTTGACTTTTTATTTTTCAACTTCACTTCTATTTCATCTGTGATTAATATTTTGCTATATCTGATATTATAAAATAAAAGTCATTTGGATAACATTATTTGTTAATATCAAAAGGATGTGTTGTAAAGACAAATTGTTATTAAAACTTAACCTATAAACATAATTGTAATAAAGTCGTACGAACATTAACGAAATTATGAAGTACATACCTTCAGTCCTTTTACACTGCTACGTTGATAGCATGCGTTAAATTCATTTCTGCATCAACGAATATTACAAGATCAAAAGTTAGACCAACAGTTATCATTATGCGTGATTATTAATATTTTTTATAAAAAAAAAAGTAAACTTACGAACATTAACGAAATTGTGAGGTACATACCTTCCACTCCTTCTACACTATTACGTTGAGAACATGCGTTAAATTCATCTCTACATCAAACAAACATTACAAGTTCAAAAAGTTGGACCAAACAGTTGTGATTATTATTAAAAAGTCGTAAACATACGAACATTAACGAAATTAAGGAATACATACCTTCCATCCCTTCTACACTATTACGTTGGGAGCACGCGTTAACTTTATTTCTACAAGTTCAAAAGGTTAAACCAACAGTTTCAATATTCTTGATTATTAATATTTTTTATAAAAAAGACGTAAACATACGAACATTAACGAAATCGTGAAGTACATACCTTCCATTCCTTCTACACTACTACGTTGAGAGCGTTAAATTCATTTCTGCATCAACGAATATTCAAGTTCAATTAGTTGGGCCAACAGTTGTCATTTTATGTGATTATTAATATTTTATAAAAAAGACGTAAACATACGAACATTAACGAAATTATAAAGTACAAATACCTTCCATTCCTTCTACACTACTACATTGAAAGCACGCGTTAACTTTATTTCTACAAGTTCAAAAAGTTAAACCAACAGTTCATTATGCGTGATTATTAATATTTTTTATAAAAAAGACGTAAACACATTAACGAAATTACAAAGTACAAATACCTTCCATTCCTTCTACACTACTACATTGAGAGCACGCGTTAATTTTATTTTTACTTTATAAGTTCAAAAGTTAGACCAACAGTTATAATTATTAATATTGTATAAAATAGTTAAATTATGGAGTATAAATACTTTCCATACCTTTACCATTATATTGTACGCAAAACTTTCCATGAACAATTATTAATATTATGAAATAGTCGTAAACCTACGAATATTAATGAAATTATGAAATATAAATAACTTCCATACTTCTACTATATTGAAAGTACGCGTTCATTTTTCCAGCAGCTGTTGCAAAGCTTTTTCATGTATAATTTATTAATATTATAAATATTCATAAAGCCTATAAATATATATAAATACTTTCCATGATACTTCTGCTAGTCTTCTGCTACGCAAATGTGCAATGAGCGGTCCTTGCAAAATAGAGCGTATAGAGAATATTAAGTTTGTTTATTTAATTCGTGTTTAGCTATTTTTAGATGATCACATGAAAACATGTATATGCCATAATAGGTTAATTTATCAAATTTACTAGATTTATAAAATTAATTCGTAATCTGTGAGTCAAATTATATGATTTTGGTAGAGTCCTAAAGAATTCTGACCTCGACTATTAAAAAAAAATTCTTGCATGATAAATATAAAATTAAGAGAAATATGCATGACGTGTTGATAATATATACTATATAAATAATATAACAAATAACTAGAGGTTAATTTGTAACACTTTTCACAAATTTATAATTTCTTATGGTCAGCACTCAGCATCAGACTTGATAGAAATAAATTTAACTTTCCAAATATTGCGAAAGAGGAACAAAAAAATGAATTTTAACAAAATTGATAAATTTTGTGCGATCAAA